TTTACAAACAGAGAAGAAACCTGCTGGTGGGAGATGTGGGGGTTGGAGTCATCTTAAACATACCGATGACAAAAGGATAAGTTTTCAATTCTTGGTGAAGTAAGGGAGGGGGTCAACAGAACATCTACTTTGGACTTCCAGCAGGTGGAAACAGTTATTAATAACAAAGGGGTCCAGGAAGGCTGGACTTACTTTAAGAAGAAAATCTTAAAGGTGCAGGAGGAGGCCATCCCTAAGTGCCAAAAGATGAGCTTTTGGGGAAAAAAACCGGCCTGTCTGAACAAGTTTTCCCAGGAACTTAGGGAAAAAGAGAGTTTATGACCCTTGGAAGAAGGGGCAGGAAGCTCTGAAAGAGTACGAGGATGTTGTTGGATCATGTAGAGAGAAAATTAGAAAGGTGAAGCTCAGCTAGAACTCAATCTGGCCACTGCTGAGAAAGATAATAAAAAAGTTTTTTATAAATACATCAACAGCAAAAGGAGGGCCAAGGAAAAATCTCTTAATTGGGCACAGAGGGGAACATTGTAACCAAGAATGAGAAAAAGGCTTAATGCCTTCTTTGCCTCAGTTATCACAGACTGGTAACAGTAAGACCAGTTATCCTTAGGGCAACTGGTCCCCTGAGCTGGTAGACAGGGACAGGGAGCAGAATAGACGCCCTGTATAATCCAGAAGGAAGTCGTTAGTGACCTGCTGAGCCACAAAGACACTCATATGTCTATGAGTTCAGGTGGGATTCATGAGAGGGTACTGAGGGAGATGGCAGAAGAGCTTGCCAAACCACTCTTTGTCATTTATGATCAGTCCTGGCTAACCGGAGAGGTCCCAAATGACTGGAGGTTGGCCAATGTGACGCCCATCCTCAAGTAAGGTCGGAAGGAGGATCCAAGCACCTAGAGGCCTGTCAGCCTGACCTTGGTGCCTGGGAGGGTTATGGAACAGATTATCTTGATGCAATCACACAGAATGTACAGGATAACCAGGGGATCAGGCCCAGCCAATATGGGTTTAGGAAAAGAAGGTCCTGCTTGACCAACCTCATCTCCTCTCACGACCAGGTGACCCTCCTAGTGGATGAGGGAAAGGCTACAGATGTAGTCTACTTGGATGTCAGTAAAACCTTTGAAACTGTCTCCCACAGCATTCTCTTGGAAAAGCTGGCAGCCCACAGCTTGGACAGTTCTTTGCTTGGTTGAAGAACAAGCTGGATGGCTGGGCCCTGAGAGCAGTGGTGAATGGTACTGCATCCAGTTGGTGGCCAGTCACTAGTGGTGTTCCCCAAGGCTCAGTGCTGGGCCCACTCCTGTTTAATATCTTTTTTGATGATCTGGATGAGGCGATTGAGTGTACTCTCAGTAAGTTCATGGACAATACTAAGTTGGGTGGGAGTATGACAGGTTGGATTGATGGGCCGAGGCCAATTTTATGAGGTTCAATAAGGTAAAATGCCAGGTTGTGCACTTGGATCGCAACTCCATGCAGCATTACAGCATGGGGGAAGAGTGCTGGAAAGCTGCCCAGGAGAAAAGGATGTGGGAGTGCTGATCAACAGCTGTCTGAACATACATCAGCAGTGTGCTCAGGTGGCCAAGAAGGCCAATGGCATCCTGGCTTGTATCAGAAATAGTGTGGCCAGCAGGACCAGGGCAGTGATCACCTCCCTCTACTCAGCATTGGTGAGGCAGCACCTTGAGTTCTGTGTCCATTTCTGGGCCCTATAATTCAAGGATATGGAGGTGCTGGAATGTGTCCAAAGAAGAGCCAACAAAGCTGGTGAAGACCTTTGAGCACTATGAGGAGTGGCTGAGGGAGCTGGGGGGTGTTAAGCCTGGAGAAAAGGAGGCTCGGGGGTGAGTTGTAATCTTCTACAACTACAAGGAGGTTGTAGCAAGGTGGGGATTGGTCTCTTCTCCCAGTCAACCAGTGACAGGACAAGAGGACACAGTCTCAAGCTGCACCAGGGAAGATTCAGGTTGGAAGAGTTTCTTCATGAAAAGCATTAGAAATGGCTGCCCATGAAGGTGGTGGAGTCACCGTTCCTGGAGGTGTTCAAGAAACAACTGGATGTGGCACTTAGTGCTACAGTCTAGTTGACAAGGTTGGTTGGAGGTTGGTCAAAAATTTGACTTGATGATCTTGGAGGTCTTTTCCAACTTAAATGATTCTGTGATGTCAAAAGTTAGAAAATCTTGACATCGTCAACGCTAAAACAAAATTTTGATAACATTTTCACTTAAGCATGAAAAGTCAAAAGAAACACTGAACTCTTCTAAAAAATCTATTATTTTCTTTCAGATATAGTGTGATATCTTTCTGCAGAACCCTGTCTTTAATAACTCACCTAATAAAGTGCCTTGTTACCTGACCTGACCACAGCCCCAAATTCTCAAATCTAAAATCAGTAGCGCTCAGCTTCATTCTTTTTGAAGGGCGCTTCACATGGGAACTTTCCCCAAGAGGGTAAATTCATTCCAGTGACACTGACACTTAAACTCTACTGCTGCTCTAGTGACTATTTTATTATGCTGTTGTAAAGCTCTCAAAGTAGAAAGATTGAGAAAGCCTGAAATACTGTAGTTCATCAGAGCACTTATCAAGGAGTTACAAGGTCCAATGTCTTCATCAAGGTCCAGATAACCAGACAGCTGTACATGATATTCCTCATCAGGCAGAAGATTTAACATAGTCCGCAGATCTAGAGATGAGTATTGATTCCTCTGAGGAATATGTACAAACTACAAGGAAGACAACAATGAACAAGCAATTGGATAACTGAGCCAGATAAAGTTCCAGGTAGAGTAAAAATGGAAGCATCAGCAATGTTGCAAAGAGCATTCAGTGAATAAAGTCCAACAACATGTGCTTAATAGAAAATATCACAAACTAGCTCACACTGTGTGCAGCTATCTGTCCTGTGCACAAAATACCAAAAGATTGCTATGGAAATAATGTGATAAAATCATACCTCAACAGTAATACAGTGTGGAACAACATAGCAGTTACTACTTTAACATCTGTGCCTCTAAGTGATTGAAAGCATGGACTGAAACACATGAGCAATCTGTTCTAGAAACAGGTGTCCCTGCCGATGGCAGGTGGGTTGGAACTAGGTTATCTTTAAGGTCCCTTTCAACCCAAAATATTCTGTGATTCTACAACCTCTTACTGTAGCTCACTCAGTACAGAAAGATGTTGTGGAAAGTGGTAGATGCAGGCAGCAATGATTAAGTGTGCTAAATATTGCCCTTGAAAGCCTCTTTACAAATGCTTGAATAAGATGAAAAGTTTGATCTTTTGTCATCAGTATCATGCTCCCATAAGATGCTTAGTGGGCTGAACTGGTGTACTCCCACTTTAAAACCTTGGTGCGTGTGTGTCAGAGAACAGCAACAGCTAAGTGTAATAAACTATATTTTAAAGGGGATTCTTTTTTTGTTAAGCTTAGTAAAACTTCAGGACATTGATATGTGATTTCCGTGTGTATTTCCCACATATCTGTTAACTGTTTCTAACAAGCTGCTGTTTGTTCCCGAGGCTGATAAGGAAGGGGGGGAGGGAAGTCTGGCAGTGTAATTAAACTACAGCAGCTGGGGACACTGAGAAGCTTCCTCTAAACAAGGAGTCAAAGTGATTTATATAGACGATAAGACTGGAAGGGGAGGAAAAATACCTATTAAAGGCGCATACTCCAAGCCGGGTTCATCTTGCGGACATCGAGGAAGACTAAAAATCTTCATCACAGAGACCCCGGCCCACAAAGAAACCCCCAGACCACGGACGCCGGTAACACAGCCCAGGAACATGCATGGGGAAAACTTTGCAACTGAGCATGTGCAAAGAGCACATGCCCCGGACTATGTATGGATAAGAACCTATGTACTGAGCATGTCTGGACGGGAACGCGGAGGGTTCAAAAGGGGAAGTTTGAGAGCTTGGGGCGGGCGGCGGCGAGCTGTGAGAGAACTCTCTTTTGTTCTAAACAGCAACCCCCGTCCCGGCGCACCGATTGTTTATCTACCGCTTATTAATAAATTTGCTTGCTATTGTAAATTGGCTTCTTCAATTCCTTTAAGGCATTATTGCTGGTAACCTATAACACTAAGTATGCCCACATCTAGACGGCAGCTCTAGTTCGCCAGAAGAGAAGCAGAGAGAGGGTGGCGAGGGCGGTTCTCCTCAGCCCTGTGGCGGATTGCCGGGCCAGTGTTCGGCAATGGCGGCTCCAGCAGAGCTCGCCCCGCCCCTCCCGCTCCCGCCCCGGCCCAGCCGCCCGGCCCGCCCGCTCCGCCGCCGTGCCCGCGGGCCCCGCCCCCCTGCTCGCGCCGCTGGGAGGAGTAGCTGCCCGGGACCGCAGGAGTGCCCTGCACAAGTGCCCGCACCTAAAAGAAGACAAAATAACGTGCTGGTGTAAGGGCGCTGTAGATGTGGGCGCTTTGCAGTGGGTTGAGTCGCTGGTCACCGGCTGCTTTCAACGTGGGTTTCTGCAGAGAGCACCTTCTGCTGTCTTTCCCGCTGCCACTACTCAGGCAGCCACCGACGTTACCCTCGAGGAGGCGAAGTGGAGCTGGGTCCTTGCTGAGGCCGTGGCGCAGGTGTGACGCAGGCGGGCAGCGCAGAGGCGCCGCGGCGGGCACGATGATGCCCGGGGAGACGCCGCTGCCGCCGCCGGCCGGGACCGCGGCCGCCGCCGGAGCCTGCGCCAACTGCGGTGTTCTCCAGCAGGTAGACACGGGCTGCCCTCCCTGTGGCGCTGGAGCGGGGTAGTGGGACTGCGCCGGGCCGCTGGCGGGTGAAAAGTCCCTGGTCCCTGCAGCCACCGCTCCCGGCGCGGCGGTAACCCGGATAGAGTGTGTGGCGAGCGGGCTTTGTAAAAGTAGCGGCAGTGTCGAGCTTTAGCCGGGCGAAATGTGGAGAAGTAGCTCAGGTCTCTGCGGCGTGCCTGGGAATTTTTAGGCGTATCCTTTTGGCTTTGCTTCGGTGCAGTGAAAGGACTGTTATAATTCACTTCCTTCCTTGAGGTCCCTTAAGCGAGCGTGTGTTGTTGTAATATTATGCTTTGGGCAATATTTGTTTCTCCTTTAATAAGGGGAAGGCCCTGTTGAGAGACCATAAGACACGCTTAGAATGAGCATGGATTGAGAATCTGGAAAATCTGTAGATACAAGTGAGCTAATGTTGTTTATTGCTAATATTCTGCACAAGCTTAATTGAATTTTGAGGGGGAAATCTTACGGGGATTTAGTATAGAATCTACCGCAAAGGCAACGCTTGAACAACTTTTGTAGTAAGGCCTCCTTTAAGTATGTATATTTTCTTGTGCAGCTTGTATTCTCTACGTTTATTTAGGCAAATATACGTTTGATGATTTAGTAATAAAGGACTAAAATAAAGAAGATTATTGTATTCTGTACCACATTAGCAATCAACTTAGGGGTATTTACAGTAGATAGTACTGTTTTTTGGGGCTTAAGTTCTTTACCGACTTGAGACTCTTCCTTACAGAATATAAATGAATATGTAGCTGCATTAATTGCACTGAAGCAAAAAATGATTGACGGAGAGTAAGTACAATTGCACGTGTGTTTTTGTTTGGTGGGTTGGGGTTACTTACACCACGCTAAATGCTCCAAAATGAAAGTCACTTCTTCACAAGCGGGTCCTAAATCTAAACTGTAAGACTTCTTTAATATAAGCTCTAAAGCATCGGTATGTCATGGCAGTAAACAGGGCTAAGTACAGGCAGAAGCAGTTCTTTGAAGAGGTTGATTTCATTTATTTATATTATTATTTCATTTATTTGTGTTCATTTGTTTAATTCTTCTGAAGAATATGAGAACTAAAGTCAAGTACAGATGTATAATGAACCTTTTAAACAGAATTAAGTCTGATCATTAAGGTGTGAAATGCTGTTGGATTAAATATCAGAATATGAAAACTGAAGCTGAACATCTTTCAGAACAGTAAGGTTCTAAAATATTTCTTATAGCTTACTTCTCTTATGTGATTTCTTGAATTTTTCTCAAAACCCATCAACATATGCTTGTATGGAATGAAATATCAAGATACGTTATCTATACCTCCATAATATGACCTAATATCCATGCTATGTCTTCTAATTGTAGTGGTTTGTCTCTTATGTACCCTTTGCCAGATACGTCTCAGTTTGGCTTGAGTGAATCTAAATTCCAGTCCTGCATTCTGGTTTCCAAAGAGTATTTAAGAGAGCACACACTGGGAGCCTTTTTTCAAGCTCTTTACTCTGAGATTCCTTTTCTGACCTCCAGACTTTGTATCCCTCTTCCTTCTGCCAATGCACACAGTTCTTGTGGGAATTGTCTCTTTAACTACTTGCAGCTCAGCCTTTCGTTTTTTTGCCATTCTTGATTACTCTTAACTGTTGCAAGAGAAAGTAATGCAACCCTTTCTGTCCTGGGGTAATGCCTATGGTATTTCTCTTTCTTGTCCTTTCTTCTCACAGTTCTTAAAAGCCAAAGCATTTAAGGAAAGAATTACTTTCCTTGGTGCTGTTCCTCTTGGGTCAGGGCATTACCCTCTTATGGCTGCTGGGAGAATAATGTAAAGATTAAGGCATTTTAGAGTCTTCTGAAATATTTTTCTGAGATTTATGTGTTCTTTTTTTAGGAAAACATCCTTTTGGTAGCATGGTATATATGTATCTTTTAATATATGCGTGTATATTAATCTTTACACATATATATGTATATATATATATTTGTATATAATTTTTAATGTTTTTATACATTTATGTATGTATATAAATTTTTACCTAAACAGTATGTTTATTTTTTGAAAAACTGCAATGAGTTAATGGCTACAAAGTAATGTAATTCAGTGAGTTTTTTCTATTTCAAAGCAGTCTGATTTGAGTGGCTTAATTTTAATAGCTTAATGAAACAAAAGGGTTATATTGACTACTATCAGAAAATGCAAACCAATCTTACACTTTCTGTATTTATCTATAAAGCAAAAGGAAAGGTATCCTGAGACGTAATTGTCAAAATTAGGGGAGAAAATTAGTAATGTCTTTTTTTCTTTACTTGCAGTCGTTTACTGACAGAATATCAACAGAAATGCACTGATATCCTTTGTCTAGTAGTGTCCTTACAGAATTAGTATACTTACAACATTTCTTATAAGAGTACTTGAGACTTTTTATTTAAGGTTTAAGTTAAAAGGTGATGTTTCCAGTGAAGAACAAACTGGGTAGGTTTTGTAAAGAAAATAGGCCTTTGGAATTAAAACTATCCACTTTAGATCTGCATGTGTCTAATACATGATTCAAGATGGTCTATTTGAAATCTGTATTACTGAGAATTACTCTTTCTTCCACATAACAGAAGCAGCTCTGCTTATTCACTTCAAGTGTATTGAAATGTATGTATTAAACACTTAATTGTGCAAGTCTTGTGGAGTTTTTGTATGAGGAAGTCTTTATTGGATGTTTCTTTGCAAGTGGCAATTAGGTTGAACTATATTTAAGGACATTTGATGAACTGTTTTTAATTTCTACCTTAACAAGAGATTACAGCTTCAATTTGCTGAACGGTAAGTTGATATATGTTGTTTAATAAAGATGCTATATTTTCAGTCTTGTGGTGTGGTTAGTTTTGGGAGTCTCATGCTGTAATAGCAGCAGCCCTGGGTCTCAACTGAGCATTTAATATGGTCGTTTACTGTGCTTCCTAGGCTGTAGTTAGCAAAGGTACCCTTGATAAGCAGTGAAATCTGTTGTCCTTCTACAGTACCTGTGTGGGATTCTTTCCTGGGCCTGTGTTACGTGGAAGTCTTAAGTGACCAAGTGGAGATATGGAGTTCATATTTTGGTGGTGGTTGAATGTAAGCCTATTTGAGGTGGCCATATTTGTATGAAGCATTTTGCCTTAGAGTTATGGCTGCATGCCCTTGCTTACGCTACTTGATTATAGAGGAAGAGGCGGCATTTAATCCTGCCTGGTGAAGAATACTGCAGTTGGACTCTGCTCTTATTTTACAGCAATATGTAGGCAGAGACACTTATTACCAGTGTAGGCAGCACAGCTATGTGGCATGTACCATCTGATTGCATCTAGCTTCAGGCTCAGTGTAATGTTTTTTAACCAGATCTTAAATTTTCTCTAAATGTTGGATGGAAAAATGAGAATACTGAGACTCTAAAAGCTTTTAGGTATCTCTCGCAGCATTTTTTCCATAGGAAAAAAACAAAATACTGAAGACACTTGACTGAAGAATCAGAATATTACCTTTGAAAGCACCTATGTTTTTGGCAACTTCTTTTTTAATTGCACATCCCGTTTCAGAGAGATCTCTGCTCTTCGTTGCCAAGTGGAGCAGATGTTACAGAAAATTCTGCCTCTGGAAAAGTGCCAGGAAGAGCTGGGTTCCTTGAAGGCAGAGTTGGAAGAGAAAAAGGTGTGCTTATAAGGTTTAAATGACTTGCACTTTTTCCATTGAAGGAAATATATGTATTTAATGCTCATCTTAATGAAGCTGACTTTAATGAGCCTAGTTGTTATTTCCAGCTCACTGGGACAGGCAGCTCTGGGTTTAGGTGAAATTGATTAAATGATAGCAGGTTTCAGAGAGGCAAAAAGTTTAGGCTTTGTAGTTTGTATGATTTTTGATCAGATTATTTTTTTTTTATTTCCTCACTTAGGAAGGAAGGAGAAACAGACTCCTTTGGCTTTCTGTTCTGGTCTTATCAGAATACTGAATACTTGTACTACTGAAAAGGTGCAAAGAGCGTCTATGCAGAATAGGTTATGCTTCTGTTACCATTTTGAACATATGCTTTTACAGTATTAGCTTCTAGAGCTTATCCCTAATTTCTCTTCTGTTTCTCCTGAGATTTAGTCTACAGGAGAAAAGCTGTTCAAATCACCTAAATATATGTATTTGCTATACTTTAACTATTATTTCTGTGAAAAATACTGCACCCTCTTTCTTGTATATTTTTTCATGATGGTATAAGGCAGGATATTAATATTTGTCTTGTCGCTGTACCTAGTTTGTCTTTCATGTTAGAACTGCTTTTAAATATCTTCCCTCAGCAAGTGTTCGTAGCTGATGTCCTGATGACACTTCCAGAAAAAGCAGGACTATACATATGGTGTATAATAGTTGTGCTCTTGACCTCAGCTTTGACTTCCTATCCAGATAGGTGTTGAGGCACATACTCAAAAGATAGATAAACATATAGAGGTTTATGTATTTGTTTGTTATAACTTTTGCTGTTAAAGGAGGATAACCTGACTTTTCAATTTGCTTGTTTTCTCATGGAATATACTTTTTTGGCTATGCACTAGAATAGGTAAGGTGTCTGCCGTCTTTTTTTTTTTCTCCTCAGTATGGACATATTTTAACTCTCCTCTCCTTCTTCACAGAGCTCTCTCAAGATTTATCGTGAGAGTCAACTGGAATATGCTAAAATTAAAGAAGAAATAGTAAACAGTGATGCTATGTGAGTGATGCTTCTTTTTTTCACAACCTTTCTTTCCCCCTCTTACCTATTCCAGAACTTGATCTTATACTTTAGCTAGTTACGCTTTCCATTTTTGTTTATGGGTTCTTACAACAGTGAGTTGATGGAAGGCCAGTCTTAAATTTTGTAGCAAACACACCTGAGTGCAGTGTTAGTTTAATTATTATCTTGTCTTGAAGTAGCTTTTGGTGGTTGTTTAGCAAAAGTTTTTTAAGAACAGGATGAGATTAAGAAAAAGCTTTAGTTTCTCCATTTTTAAGTGGATTTTAATCTTGGCTTTTTGTTATTTCCATCCATTTGAGTTGTGCTGATAAGTCCCCGAGGACAGTAGAGAAATTATATTATCAAAGTGGTCTGCACTTTGATAATCAGTCCTTAAAATAATTGGTTTTAAAGAAACAGCTCAGCAGTTTAGGGTGAACTGTCTGCCATGTTTGGAAGTGAGCAGGAGGGATTTGGCACCAAAAGTGCAGAAGCTGTTTTTTCTATCACAGTACAGAATATTCTGAAGCTGTGCCTTGATAATTCCCAAAGTTTGTTTTTCCACTAACCAGTCACTTCAAGGCTTCCTTGCCTGGAGCATATGTGTGTACTGTAATTTCTTACAGCTCTTGATGAATACTGTAATGAACTTGTCTAATAGCTTTTTAACCCTCTAATCTAATTACCTGTATCATGGAACTGTGACTTCTCTATACTGTTTGGAAAGGTGCTCATGCTCTCAAAAGAGAACCAGCTAAAATATAGCTGGGTGTTATGAGTTGGTAGTTGTGGTTATTTTTCTCCAGATGCATCACTTTGCGTTTATCAAAACCAGTGATTGCTCTCTAGTAGCTTGGAATTCTAAGACCCTTCTGCTGTTTTTTGTAGTCACCTTTTATTTCTGATGTGTTCCAACACACATCCTGATGGGACTCCCATTGGGGACTCCTTACTTCCATGATAGCTGGCTATGATTTTTAATTTTGGTGTTCTTAAGCTATTTTAGGTCTACCATCAGGGAAGGGATCAGTTCCCTCTGCTCAGCACTGGTGAGGCCAGACATGGAGTACTGTGCCCAGTTCTGAACTTCTCTGTACAGGATATATGGGTATACTGCAGAGAGTCTAACAAAGGACCATGGAGATGAACAAATGACTAAAGCATCTCTCAAATGAGATACCCTAGTATCTTTACATGACTTGTGAAATATGCAGTACTTGCAAGCACAGCAGCACACCCCTACTGCCCAAAAGACTGTATAAGCAGGCTAAGTTGTTACTTTTTCTGCCAGACTGTACTTATTTCACATATAGATGTACTAAATGTTCTGTGAACTTAATGGAATATTTAGCACATCATCCTGTCTAAGAGCAGCAAAGGGCAGCTACACCATTGCTAACTGCATCTTAAGAGGGAACTGAGCAGCCTAATGTGCTGGTAGTGTACTGTGTCCATATAGATACATTGCTTGTCTCCTTTCTGTCATTTATATGTTCAAGAAGAAGGAGCCAGGGAACTACAGGTCAGTCAGCCTCACCTTGATCTCTGGGAATGTGGTGGAACAGCTTATCATTTCCAGGCACATGAAGAACAAGAAGCTCCTTGGGAGTAGACAGTATGGCAATACCAAGGAAAAGTCATACTTGACTCTCTAGATAAACTGACATGCCTGGTAGATGAGGGGAGAGCAGTGGCTAGTGTCTCCCATAAGAGCCTCACAACCCCTCAGGCTGGTACTGTAGGGGCTGCACGGGCAGACTGTGAGGTAGATTGAAACCTGGCTGAATGGCCAGGCCCTGAGAGTGGTAATGAATGGTAAAGTCTAGCTGGAGACCAGTAGGTAGCACTGTACCCTGAGGGAAGACAGCGAGAGCCACATACTGGGTCTAGTCCAGTTTAACATCTTTGCTAATGATCTGCATGATGGGGCAAAACATACCCTCAGCGAGTTTGCCAATGACACAAAGTTAGGAGGAGTGGCTGATGGACCAGGGGGCGTGCTGCCATCCAGCATGAGCTTGACAGGCTGAAAAAATGAGCTGACAGAAACCTTGGGAAGTCCAGCAAGGAGAAGTGCAAAGTCCTGCACCTGATGAGAAACAACCCCACACACCAGTACATGCTGGGAGCCACTCAGATGGAGAGCAGCTTGGGATGCTGCTGGACACCAAGTCAGACACGAGCCAGTGATACACACTTTGTGGCAAAAAAGGCTACCGATATCCTGGTCTGCACTAAGCAAAGTTTTGCCAGCAGGCTGAGGGAGGTGCTCCTCTACTCAGCACTAGTGAGGCCACCCCTGAAGTACTGTGTTCAGTCTGGTCTCCTCAGTCCAAGAGAGACATGGATGTACCGGAATGAGTTCAGTGAAGGACCATGAAGGTGATTAAGGGATGGGAGTATCTCTGCACTGACAGAAGGCTGAGAGAACTGGGACTGCTAAGTCTGGAGAACAGAGGTCTCAGGGCTGATATCATCCGTGTCTATAAATACCTGAAGGGAGGGTGTAGAGAAGACAGAGACAGGCTCGTTTCCATGAAGCCCAGTGACAGGACGAGAGGTCATGGGCAAAAAGTAAGACACAGAAGGTTCCCTCTGAATATCAGGAAACACTTGTTTTTTTGCTGTGAGAATAACTGAGTACTGGCACAGGTTTTCCTGAGCAGTTGCGTCCTCTCCATCTTCAGAATACTCAGAAGCCGTCTGGACATGGTCCTGGTCAAAGAGCTGTAGGTGGCCCTGCTTGAGCAGAGTGGGTTGGACAAAATAACTTCCAGAGGACCCTTCCAACCTCAACCTCAATTCTGTGATGCTGTAGCTATTTTGTATACCTCTGATGCTGATGTATTGTAAGCAGTAGGTCATATGAGTTCAGTAACTCAAAAGCTGGGTTTCTTCAGAAGCAGAATAATAGTGAATTGTTCATAAAATTATTGTTAATCTACAGTTACTATAAAATAATTTAGGTCAGAAATTATTTCTCAAGTCCTTTGATCCAATCTGTCGTTCAGAGTCAGTGTCAAAGTTAGCTTGCTGAGGACCCTGTCTAGTGGAGATTTGAATATTTACAAGGATTGCATTTCCCATGTTACAGGAATGCAACTTCTGTTAGCATGGCCTTTTGTCAGCTGCAGTTGTGCATGCATCTTAAAGCTCAGATCATGGACATGAGGAGAGCAGACTTCATGGTGCTCAGGGAATCAGTAAGTGAGGTCCCTGGAGAGAATGTTTTTGCAGGTGCTAGGGTCCATCACTGCTGGTCGCTTTTTAAACATGGCCTCCTAAGGGCACAGGAGCAGGCAATTCCCAAATGTTGGAAGTCAAGCACGCAAAGCAGAAGGCCAACCCTATTTGGTGTAACTCCTTTAGCATGACACATCAACCATCCAATGTATTATGGACTTTTCTAGCTGTATGCTGGTCATTTTGTCCAGAAGGAGACACATATCAAAAGCTCTGCTAAAGTCCAAAAACCCTCACATCAGCTGGCTTCCCTTAGTCAAAAGGATGGGTGACCTTGTTGTAAAAGGAAATCAATTAGTTAAACAAGACTTTCCTCTCCTCAACGTAGGTAAGACGAATGACTGCATTGTCTCAAGTGTTTTTCAGTAACTCCCAGGGTAACCTCCCTAATTTTACCAGTAATTGGAGTCAAACTGACAGGCCTGTCATTACCAGAGTCTTCCTTCTTACCCTTCCTGAAAACTGGGACATATGCCAGCTTCCAGTTGACTGGGACCTCTCCAAATGCTCAAGGCCATTGAACAATAATGGAGAGAGGTCCTGTCCTAACATTGCCCAGCTCTTTTAGTACTCTGGCATGAATCTTGTCAGGCCCCATAGACTTATGTGTGTCCACCTGAGCAGCAAGTCTTGAACAGGTTCAGAGTTGTCCGGGAGTTTATCAGTTTACCAGTCATGGTCTTCCAGCACACATCTTGGGGTCCTCAGGACCCATCATTGATGAGAGATGATGACTGACAGAGCTGAAGAAGGCATTAAAGATCTCTGCTTTCTCTGCATCCCTATTTGTGATGTGACTGACCTTATCAAGCAATGGACCAGTGTTATTTCTGATCCTCTGTTTGCTGTTAAGATATTTTGAAATGCCCTTTTTGTTGTCCTTTAGAGTACTGGTCAGCTTGAACTCTAATTGAGCTTTGGCTGCATGAATCTTCTCCCTCAATGGCAAACAGCATCTCTATAGTCTTCCCGTGTCAACTGACCTTGATTCCATTGTCCACACATTGTAGATGCAGTGCTTCTGTGCATTGTTTAGAAGGTAATTTACAGAGAAACAGTAGTTTACCTCCTATTTTCTAAAGGACAACTCCTCCTCCCTCCCCTTTTTTTTTTTCTCTGCAAAGGTGTTTTATGAGCAATTTTTTTCTGAAATTCTTATCTATGGCTTGACTGTCATAGTGATCATATAGGAAAGTAAGTAGGAACCTCTTCAGACTGAGAAGGCACAAGATCATTAGTCTATTACTTTATAGTAATATAAAGTATATAAAAATATAAAGTCTATTACTTTATAGTATATAGACTACTGAACATGCAAAAGGTGGTCAATCATCCTGTTTATGAGTGGGTTTTCAAATATATGCCACTTAATGTCTGAAGTCATAATTAAAGCCTGCACATCCAAAAAGGCTTAGACTGTAAATCTCAATCAATTACGTAGGTTTTAATATGGAAAATAGGTGAACTGTGGTCTGCTTCATGAATATGATTAGTGAGCATGTGTTTGTCAGGAAAGAGTTCTGTGTCACAACAGTTTAAAACAATTTCTGGAATATTGGGATATAACAGAAGGAAATAGTAAAAATATTTACTTGTCTACTTATTTATTTTCCAGTTCTGTGTATGTTTTACATATAAGGTAGGTTTGGGAATGCTAAAGTCAAAATTATTCAGGATGCATGTTTGTTTGGGTTTTGTTTGTTTGGTTTTTTTGTTTGGATAGTGTAAACAAAAAGCTGTGGGACATGAGTGATCCTGAAGGCTATTCCTGATTATCTCATTGCTTAGATACTATTCGTTGTAAGCAAGGCTTAATTGTTTTTAAGGAGTAAAACTAACCTGTCTGCATTACATTATAGAAATACAAAAAACAGAGAGCAGTTGTCTGCTATTGCGTTTCAAACTCCAAGATGTAGCTAAAGGCATATTTATAGAATCATAGAATAGATTGGGTTGGAAAAGACCTCCAAGATCATCAAGTCCAACCCCTGATCCAACTCCAATTACTATATCATGGCACTAAGGGCCGTGTCCAATCTCTTTTTAAAAACCTCCAGGGATGGTGAATCCACCACCTCTCTGGGCAGAGAGGTGCACCTGGACTAGTGGATTGACCCTCTTAAAAGCAAACTCAGATATAACTGTTTGTGTGAGAAAGTCAGCAACATGCGGCTGATTTATTTTTTCAACTTCAGGGACGCGATGGTCTCATAAGTCCTGGATATAGGAAGTGTATTTTTTCTGAAATGGCTAGATTTATTTTTTTTCTGGCTTTTCATGCAACCTAATTCTGTTTAAAAAATTATCTATTCATGTGTTCTTTTTAACAGGAGAAAGAAACTGGAAACAAAAGTGAAAAAGCTTGAAGGTAACTTTCTACATTGTGTTACTGTACTGTTGTCCAACTCGATCTCTCCGTTCTTTTCCTATCCAAAGAAGTAATTGTCACTTTAACTTAGAGGCTCCAAGGAGCAAGGCAGGGCCATACTATGTGGAATTAAATCAGCCCCCCCTGCAGAATGTGTTCTGCTGAGTATCTTAGGCACATGTCATAAATCAAGTTGGAAGGGAGCTTCTGGTCATGAAAACCTCAAAGGATGGAATCTGACCTGCCTGTCCAGGTAACTTGATTCACTGCATGACTGACATGTCTTTCCTTATAACCAGTGGGAAACTCTCGTGTTTCAGTTTACACCTGATGTCTACCATACAGCAGTGAACAGTCTCCTTCCATCTTCTTGATACCTTCTTCTACAGGAAAGCTGTTCTTGGATTCCTTCTAAGATTTGTTTTGTTCTCCTCCCAGAGGAGAAGTCTAGTTCAATGAACCTTTCTTCATAGGGCATATGCTTCAGTGTTCTAATAATCCTGACAGAATTTTTCTAGTCATGTTTGTAATAATATTTAAATATATGGTGAACCTGGTGCATATTTTCTGATTTTTAAATATTCTGGCACTTGTATTTTGATTGGTCAGTTTGTTTGTTTGCTTTGTGTTTAAGTAGAGATAAAGCATTTGCCTCATGGCACTGTGGCTTTCTTGTTTTGCTAGTAGAAGATGGATATGCATAAAGCTTTCTGATACTTCACTTGTACTGTCAGCTGGCAAGGCAAATATTTGCATTCATTGCATGCTTACAGCTGTGCTTACCATAGTTTAAAGTACAGCGATCTGAGAGACTTGTATCTTAGTGTTAGAAACTTCCCAAATCCCACTCTAAAGTACAGGTACAAGGTGTTCATTTTGATGAGAATTTTGGAGTTTCGTTATAGGACAGCCAGTTTTTATACACACTTGCCTCCAAAAACACAAATTCTGCCAGAACTAGAACAAAATACCGAGAAATAGTTTGTGTTAGGTCCAATTTCAGTGACTATTTTACGTGTTTGGGTTTTTTTTCTGTGTTCATTAAATATCCCAGACCTCATATCTTTTGTCAATATGAAATTTTGCTACCGTTGTTTTTTGTCAGCCTACCACCTCTAACGCTTTTTTAACACCTTTTCTTTTAATATGCTTTCTTCTGTTACCTGATCTGATAGCAGGCAAATTCCCTCTGTCTTTTCTCTTTAGTCCTGGGAATCTCACATTCAATCCTCATTTACATACCCTGTACTCTCTATTCCCACCCATCTGCAGTCTTCCAAGGTGTCTGTTAGACATTGAGAAGATCCTCTTCTCTGTTTATTAGTATTGAGTGCTATCTGCATCTTTCTAATGTAGTTGACTGTGGTGTTTTCATCTTTGAATGAGAACCCTCTTATATAAAAGAATCAAACACGTAAAAAACCCATTGCACCTCATTCTTAATTTTATTTCATTTTTTCACTTGTGTATATTGTTCTGTGGTACAGTATCGTTACAGTATGACCCACTCTTCATTCTTGCATGTAAGTGAGAAAACTTTTAAATGTATTGCAGTAGTTCAGAACAGTAATTATGCAATAGAAGACAACATACTATGTATGAGTTGTTGTCTTCATGACCCAAAATATAACTTCAGTAGATTTGTATTTCACACTATGTATTTAATTTTTTCTGGTAATTTGATTTGCAGTCAAAGTGATGGGCATTACTTAAATTAGTGGCCATCATAGTGTAGTTTCTAACTTGATTTTTGTTCATTTTTCTTGAAGAGGCTGCAACAAAGCATACGCAGGAGTTCAGACAACTGAAAACTGAAAAGAAAAGGCTTGAAAAGGAGCTTAAGAAGGCACAAGTAAGGCTTTCCTTGTCTTTAGGTGAAGCTTTTTAAATATTTCTAGGGGAAAGAAAGGAAACTACTAGTAGTAGAGATACTGAAACAGTAAAATTACATTTATTGGGAGTATTGAGTAACTAAACATAGCAATCCACCTTAAGAGATAGAAATTTTCCAGCTGAAGAATGGTCTTTGAAATGTTGATTTAGATTTCATGCTCATTAAGAGTAGATGCTCTACAAACTATGTATGGCATAAAAAATTAATACCTTTTAATTTTAACAGGGAAAACTTGATGGTGTATTTAAAGAGAAGTGCAGAAAAGGTAAGTGTTTACCTTTGATTGCCTTCAGATTTGTATGTGGTATTGTTCCATTTGAACATTTCCTTTCCACCTCTCCTCTTTTTAATAGTTAAACATGCAGAGACCCAGAGTTCAAGTGAAGATCTTAAAACAGACATAGACAAAGGTAAGACTTTTTGCAAGACTGTTCTCTGTGTGGAACCAACCATTATGAATTTATTGTAACTCTTCTGTAGTTGCATTTTTGGAAACAGGATAGTGACAGAAATGCTGTAAGAACAGATGTGGTTGATATGAGTGTATTGCACTGATGAAGGACTAACATAATACATGACTATTTTTCAGTCTTGCAATAAGGAAAATACTGGATTTGTAAAAGGGACTAGTCTGCCATGAGCATATGTGAAGTCAGTTGATGTGCAATTATAAAACAGAATGCAAACACCAAGAAAAATGCAAAGGATCCCTTTGTCTTCCAAGCTTATTGCAATCATAAAGGACAAAATGGGAGTATAATCTGCTACAATTTCTATATGAGGATCAGTAAATCAAGTGGAAATCCAGGAGTTATAGCTGTATCTTATCCTGTTGACTTTTTTCCCCCTAATGATCTAAAATACATGCTACAAATAATCTGAATGTAACTGTAATGGAGCAGACTCCTTCTAAACTTCCTCTAAAGTACTGAAGCCAAACTTGAAGCAAATTTATTTTTTGTATTTTTGCAGTCTTTTAAAATGTTGGTGTTGCATTTGAATTGTTTTTATATTCTGAAGATGATTTTGAGGCAAAAGAACCTCTCTGTTCTGTTTCTTGCTTTGCAATAAGTTTGTTGCAGAAATGAAATTTTCTGAAAAAGGTAGACCTTGTCAGTTCCTGTGTCTTGGCAAATTTTTTTGCTTCCTTTTGAATTGTACTGAATTTCATCTTTTCATTTTTAATTCATGGCAAAACAGGAAACTTAATACCTGAGCACTAATTTAACCTTCAAATAGCAGAAGAGTTTAATTAGTAATGAGAAAATGTTAGTGTTGTATTAGTAATGAGAAAATGTTAGTGCTGTTAATAGCTGCTAAGCAAAATTTTGCAGCTTTTCCTCTTAGATGCTGAATTTTTTTAACATGCCTCTTCATAAAACAGTTTGCTGTGGCCTTTGACTTAATGGAATCGGTACAAAAACAATAGTCTCTATTCCTGATTGTTGAATCTGATTATAGTTTTGGCATAAGTAGATGAGGTGCTTGTGTATTTTACTGAGGTTTTGGGTTGTTTTTCCTCCTCCCCCTGCCCTTCTGTCTCTGAAACTAGGTTGTTTGACATCACCTAGCTAGTCATTAGCTAGTCCTAAGTAGCAATGGTGACAGGGTCTCCTAATGTTGGGGTCTGATAATTAATTCAGATACATGGTGCTATTACTCCATGATAAGCCTAAGAGTGAGCATAAATGTGATATAAATCTGCCTTGAAGGTTTCCTCCCCATTTATGTTCATGTCAGCTGAGTTGTTTTAGAAAGCTCTTTAATTTCTCTAGTGCTACATTAAAATCTACTTTTACGTTTTACTCAGGAGCTGCTACAAGTTTTTGCAGTGCTTGCTATAAAAAGGAAAAGCTAGAGCATTCTTGCCCTGTTCCTTTAGTCTTTTCTGTGGATATGACCAGTATGGGATCTAGCATTTCTCTTTTTCTGAAGCTTGTACCTTGTCTTAATTTCTGTTGTGGGTATTTTGTGTTTTGTTGTAGGCATGTCTGTGTTCTGAGTAAAAATAAAATATAAGTTCTTAGTTAAATTTTCTCAGTTTATTTTAAATAAAGATTTTTATTTATTTTTACAGTAAAAGTGAGGCTCTTGTTAGAAGAACTCTGGATGTGCATTGACAGTGCAACAGAAAAAAGAGAGAATGAGGAAAATCAACCTGTCTTGGGTAAGATGGCATGCAAAGTCTTGAAATTGTCTTGAAGCTCTCACTTCTTCTGACCAAAAATAAATATTGGTACTTTTTTACAGCTTCTATTCAGGATAAGACATGGTCTGAAAAAAGAAGACTGACTATCACAGAAGGTGGGTCCAAGTTGAGTACTGTTGGCATAACACTTTTTTGAAAAACTTAAATACTTCCCTTGGTGACTACTTGGTCAAGTACATGTATGATTAGAATATTTTAAAATAATTCAAATGTTAATTTAAACAGCCAAATAAACTTAAACGTTCTTTTAATCAAAAGCTATTGTAATCTGTTGTTGCAATTGAAAAATCAAATTCTTTTCCTGTCAGCTGTTTTGACTCTTTTTAAGTAGTCAAAACTCACCTCATGTTTAAACTATTAATTATTATATCACTATAAACTCTGTAGTATATAATGTGAATTATGGGATGCAGGTGCTCTTTTTAGTTTGAAACAAAGGTATGGTAACATAATTGGGTTGTAAAATTTACAAAGCCGTTACCTCCATTTTCTTCATTGTAATGTTTTATTCAGTGTAATAATAAACTAATCTGAATAGTTATTCATATGCATATTCACAGCAGACTTGAACTGTTCTAACTGTACATAAACGGATATAATTTTATTTCTGCACTCAAGGATAATAGGTGCCTTGAAATGGCATTAGTATTTCTGTAGTTGCCTTTCCAGAATATGCTTATTAATCTTTAAATTTTTCTTTTAGTTCATCTACTATTTTGAACTTGTTGTAACTCAAGGTGTAGGGATACCGTCTGGGCTAGGTACCTAGCTGTATTAAGAGATTTGAAGGTGAATTGTTATTCTGTCTTCCCACCCCATTAAGTCTGAAAATTTGCTACCATTGTAGATGTCAATGAATATAACTTCAGATGTGTTCCAATGGAATCTACTCAAGAGGTACCAAAATACATGGACCAGCCTGTTAATCAACCTCACTTCCACGAGGTTAATGCAGCAGATCTGTGGCTTCATCTCCAAAACTGAGCTAGACAGTTGTGCCCTAATATTCTGAATTTAATATCTTTATCAAGGATTAATCACATGACAAGAACAAGCACAAGAAACTGAAGAGTTTTAAATATGTGTAATCTTAGGGGTATCAGGTTCTAGTGTCATCCCCATGCCATTCAGCACAAGGGGAACTTCAGATTGCGGAAGTGCTGTCCCATCTTTCCTATTCATATCTTCTCAAGGAAACTACAGTACTTTCATAAAAGGAAACAGACAACACTAACAGTCCCTTCTAGCCAGTCCCTCTTTCTGCGCACTTCAGTGTGGAGAAAGTTTTGAGCTTGAAGCATGCTTTTGTTGGAATGGTTAGATATCATAAAAACATACCTCACTTCTGGTTGCTTTCAGGTTTTTTCCCCCTCTTCAATCCTAGGATAGCCACCTTGTTATTCAGCCTCTCATGGAAGTGACTGTTACCTTGGATTCATAATTAAAAATGCTTATATTTACAGATGCAATCTTCTAGCAAAAAAAGGATATTAATGAGTTTGCCCTAATTTTTTGTCCTATATTATAATGGCTTCAACTTAGAAAGCAAATCAGCTTGATGGTAGTATATTTTCTAGAGAATGTCAGTTCATCTGTCTGCCTGGATCTAGCCTTTCAGAAAGGTGCTTCTGATGGTTGATTTCTTAGTACATTCAAGTGTGCTGTAAAATATCCAAAGCTTTGCATTATGATCGAAGCCTTCTCTGTTCCACCAAGGTGGATACCACTTTGAATGGCTTTGTTGAAGAATGTGTTCATGTATGAAAACTGGAAGACTCACAACGTGTCCAAATGTGCTGTTGTGAAAGCCACATAGGCTAATGTGGTTTTTCCAAACATAATTTAAAAGCTTTTGGTAGTATTGTTACAAATCTGCAGTAATAAATTTGATGTACCTGCATCTGACCATCAGACCAGTAACCTTGGGCCATAATCTGAGGTTAATAAGATGGTTTTTTAGTCTTTGGAAAACTCTATCCCATGTAATTTGGGCATAAAATCTCCTACATTGTGAATGAGCATGTGAAGAAGCATTTTGAAGATCCTTGCAGCTGAAGCCTTTGGTAATTTGGATTCCCCTACATGCTATGTTCATGTGTTATGGTGAGATGAACTGAGGGAAAATGACAAGACCATGTCCAGTGGTACCTCTTCAAGTGTTATGTGTAACTGGGATCTGAGCTAAATCTGGCTTACTACAGAGCTATACCCATCTTATCTGCTCACCTTCTCATTTGGGAACCCAGGATAGGGGAGAAGCTGCATGTAGATCTTAAAAGCAGAGATGGAAAGGAGCACACTCAAGGTCCCTGGTGTCCACTAATACCAGATAAAAGGAGATACAAGGCAGTGGCATTAAATGTAAAATACAAAGATAAGAACAAATCCCTAGGGACACGTGTATGTTTTATGGTCCTGAGATAAAAGTCCACCGAATGTGGCTGATTTGAGAAGCAGACCTCTTTTCTGTCTTTAGGACCTTATGAAAATCTCTCAACATCTTGATAGATACCGTAGTGTAGCACTACATGTTTAGTTTCATGTATGCAGTGTTCATCCTAATTACTTGTTTCATATGGATTTGCTGTTTCAGAAAACAGGACATTGTCTGTAGCTCCAAAGAACAGCTAGTGTATGAAGCATCCTGAAATTCACATAATTGGAAACAGGTTGAAAAATTGTGCCTTCTTGTCAAGGCATTAAAAACTTTCTGTGAAGGGATTTTTTTTTTTTTTTTCCTCAGAGAAATATTACTGTTTATTCTGGAAAAGTGTGCAGTTGCTATTGCTGGGCATCTGCAGTCACTGTGATGAGGTTTTGCTGTAAATCAGATGAAATTCTATATATAGCTAGGTTAGTTATTTTTATAAAATACCCAACATCTTAATCTGGTCCTTCTTGAGAGGAAAAAACCACCAGACTTGGTTCAGAAAGTTGCTTTGTTGCTTGGAGTGAGGAGAGGGCAACTTGCCCTACAACAGGGAGTGAAGTTTTGTGTTGTGAAATTTAATTTGTTTAGTACCAAGGCAATCAATGTTAGCATTGGATTGCTTATATCATCTCTGCTCTTTTTTCTCCATTCTACATCAAGAAGGTATTTCTTAGCAGTATGTGATAGAGTTTGATGGAGTTTTCAGATCAGAGTAATCTTAATCTTCTCCCAGAAGTGGGAAGAGGCAGCAATGTAAGAGTTTGAAGCTATATGAACCAGATTCCAGGTTGTAGATTTCAGGAGAGAACTTAATAATTTCAGTAAGTGACATAATAAAAGATTCCCTGGATAAAGTAAAATTTGTCTGTGAAATATGATCTTTAAGAGGATTCTTTCAGTGAGATGGGGTTAATATCAGTAGCTCTTTTCCTGGACCTGAAGTTCTGGCCAAGGTGCCAAAGAGTTGACATTTGCAATAGAGAAACTTGGCATATCCTGAACCTTTAAAAATTGCTTTGACAACTCTTCCTACTGTTAAAGGGGTAACTACACGAAAAGCATCTCATTCGTAAAGAAATTCACTGTTATCAGGGACTGGGTTGGAAAGGGATGGGTAGAGAAGGATGGAGAATCTCTTAGTTATTCAGAAATCTTTGATCCATTTATTGGAGGAAACTTTTCAATGGATGGTGTGTTCTTGGGCCTGATGGAGGTGTATGATCTTGGGAGTATAGATAAGACGTAAAGTTTCTGATAAAGTACTATTGTGTAGTTCACCGTGAAAAGAAAACTTCCCAATTGTCTAACTGAAGTTCTTTTAGGGGCAAAGTATTTAGCTGTGTTGCTGCCCACTTCAGTGTGGAGAAAGTTCTGAGCTTTGAACTGATTAATACAAAGCAACATGAAAGAAATCTAAAAGGGAATCACCTTTTGAACTTTCCTTCTTTGTTTCTGCTTGTGTAGGATCTCCTTTTCTCTTGTATCATCTAATGGAACTCATTTTGAAAGAGAAATCTAGGTTTTCCATGAGAAAATTTAGAACCATCCTGGAAGCTCTGTGACCGTAGCTTATAAATAGTTTTATAAAACAATATATGATCTTAAAACTTCTAAGATGCAAAGGAGATATCAGAGTTTACTTGTCTTTGGGGAATATGAGGTGCTAAGGCCATTTAGGCTGTGCAGTTTCTCCCTCCACCAGGAGTGTCCATTGCAGCAACTGAGATTTAGGTATGCAGTTGCTACATGAAGTGACTGAGATGGATCTTTGAAATAGGGTTATTGATCAGTTTTTCTAATATACTCTTTCAGTGGAACCGACATATCAGATATGCCTAGAGGTTTTTGATGGCTGAGGAGGTTATTTTGACCTATTAAATTAATAGTTTTGAATATGATACTAACATTGATGTTGCTTCAGGACAGTTCTGCACGTTCTAATAGTGGATTAGCGCAGAGCAATAATGAAGCACATTATTCTTTTTATTTTTGCAACAGAATGCAAGTTATGCCAATTAAATCAATATATCCTCTGCTCAAAACCATTTTGTGCGTGTGCTTTTCTTTCTACTGTGGGATGGTGTGGTGACCCACCTCTGAGGCAGGGCAACCAGGTTCATTGTTAAAGGATCCCTTGGTGTGGATTAAAGCAAAACAACGCTAAATAACCAGTATAACAATGGATTTTATTAGAACAACTGCTTTGAAACCATAACTAGGATAAAAACGTAATGGATTGGAACATGGATTGGAAAGTGTGTAACACTCCTGAATTGTATGATCACCGTAAGAGAGAAGAATTGAGAAAAATAGAGATTAGAGGCAGAAAGATATTATTACCCATGGCTCCAGTGACACGTGGGTGATTGCAGTCTGTGGTTGTGATACGCAGTCCTGGTCCATCAGAGGAGGGGGCCAGCATAGGCATCAAAAATTGGGGATTTTATAGCCCTGATTTTTCCAGTAAGTGCCCCAATACCTCCTCCAGGAGGGGTTCTGGGCATGCACAGTCTTCTTTCCAGAAGTCTGGCAGCATTGAGCAAGGGGTTGAGAGTATGTGTGCCTGGTAAGGGTTCTGAGTAAACTTTTCAGAGTTTTGCAGCTGCATGGTGCAGGAGAGAAACTTGCATTAAAAAACAAAAACAAAACACTATCCTGCCTCTGCAGTATCCATTGCTTAACAGCTGTTTCTCCTTTAATTCTAAACCAGCTTGTTTAAGGCAAAAATTAGCTGCAAGGTCCAAGTGGTTCACTACAGATGGTGCTCGAGTGTACACAGAATAGACTTGATATCTTGCTTGAATATTGCTAATTCTGTGTCCAGTAGTTTTGTGAGCATTATAAACAAGATCACACATAAAATGTCATATAAGAATTGCAAATTCTGCAGAGTAGATTCTAGTTCTTTGTGACACACTGGGTTTTGGATTGTTGATTTCTACTGTTAATTGGAGGTAATGCTTTCATTTTACAAATGAAAGAGTTCAAATTTCAAAAAACTGGGCCATCTTTTCCGTTTTAGCAGTACTTAGCACAAATATAATTAATTTAAATTATTTGACTGTAATGCTTAGACTTCTGGGGCAGTGTGTTTTGTCTGCGTACATAAGAAATCAGTTTCTGTGTAATAGTAAAAACTGATTTGAAAAGTAGTAAGAAAAATATACACTGCAAGAATCACACAGGAATTTCGACATGCTTTCTTGCTGTTAGAATAACTGTGTAAAACTGGTATAGTTGCCTATCTTGGAAGGGTTGTCAGCTGCTCTTTGTCTTAGTGGTTCAAACTGCTTTGTGCATAGGTATGTTGTGGGGCTTTTTTATGGAGGGTACAGTTTTGACTAAGCTGTATCGTTGAAGACAGAATCTTGTACAATTAGACTCGATACTGAAATTTAAAGAAGAAACCATTTAAAAGCACATGCTTAATAAATCATAAACTAGGACCATAGCTAAGAAATCCCTTACTGTGTTTATGGCAGGGTATAATCGTAATTGGCCTTCAAGTACAGGTGCAGGCTGCTTTAAGCTGAGAATTACAGCCTGAATGGGGAATTTCACTGCATGCTGTCCTGCTTTTCATGACCATGAGTTACTGGCAAAGACTGAAATAAATCATTGAGCTGTATGGACCTTCAGTCCTACAAGAATGGCCTTTCCTGATAGAAAAATTAGGAATAGTCTTAATGACAAGTCAGAAAGTGTTTGGAAGAAGCTTTTTGCACACTTATGTGCCTTTTTCATGAAAAAAAAAAATGTGAATAATAGCATCTCATCTCTGTAAGGAAAGTATTTCTGAAAGTGACATTAGGATCTTCTGTGGGACCATCACTTGAAAATATAGTAATGCATTTTTATTACTACTGTATGTTATCTCTATAAAGAGAAATCGGAGGGAAATATTCTTAACAATATTTTTCTGTTTTAGACACTTTACAAATCCCCCAAAAGATCAGAAAGTGTGATGGCAAAACAGTACCATGGTATTCTTCAGTGGAAAGTGCTGTAAAGCAGAATTCTGTAACAGCCATGCAACTTCAAGCAAGTACTGAGCCTTTTGGAGATGATTGTGTTGAGAACAAAACTACTGAAGAATGCCTGCATAGCAGTGAGGATAAAAATGTTGATGTGATTATACAGACAGGCGGGGAGCACAGCACTTCAGGCTTCTCTGATCAGGAGCAAAAGGGCTCAGGTGGAAATGTGATGGATATACTGAATTGGGCTAGGCCTCTCCCTGCTTTACTTTCTCCAGTACAGCTTTCACCACTGACTACACAGGTGAGTTTCAAGATGCATCAGACTTGGCAGTAACTTGGTTTTAAAATTACTGCAGAAGTATTGATTTTATATTTCTGGGCTTATTTTTTTTTGTTTTCCCTCAGTGTTAGTTACTCATGCACTGAAAGGGTCTCTGTGTGTTTAGATTCATATGAATACTTTTTTTTACCTTGTAGCATACTGCCTGTGGAAGGGAACAAAAGATAATTTTCAGAAGTGTATGGGTCATGATTTAACCCCAACCAAGTACCACACACCTGCTTGCTCACTTCCCCACCAGCAGGAACCCTGGGGAGAATTGGAAGAGTAAAAGTGCAAAAATATGTGGGTTGAGATAAAGACGGTTTAATAGGTAAAGGAAAAGCCATGCACACAAGCAAAGCAATGCAAGAAATTCATTCACCATTTCCCATGGGCAGGCAGGTCTTCAGCTATCCCCAGGACAACAGGACTCCATTATATGCATGCGTGACTTGCAAAGACAAACGTCATGACTCCAAACATCCCACCCTTCCTTCTTCTTCTCTCTTTATATACTTGGCATGATCCCATAGCAGTATAGGATATCCCTTCAGTCATTTGGGTTCAGCTGTCCCAACTGTGTCTCTTCCCAACTTCACATGCACCCCCAGCACCCTCACCAGTGTGGCAATATGAGAAGCAGAAAAGGCCTTGATGTTGTGCAAGCACAGCTCAGCAATAACAAAAACACGTCTATATTATCAACACTGTTTTCAGCACAAATCCAAAATGTAGTCCCATAGTAGCTACTGTGAAGAAAATTCCTCAGCCAAAACAAGCACACAGTCACCTGTGTCTCAACTTGCTGCCATAATTTCTTTTCCCAATGCTGCAGACATAGTCTCAACTCCTGTTCAACATAAGCATGGCTTTCATGGCAAAATTCCAGAGCTTGAAAGTCAAATGCTACTCAAATGCAGTTTTCCAGTAATCTTAGAATGCAAGTAAATAGGTAAAGAAGTCTCTTAACAGAGGTATTTTCCATTTGCTGTGAAAAACAATGATGGAGAAGGTTGTAATTTATGTTATGAGCCTTAATCTCTCAAAACTATTGTATCAGGGCCACCAGTACACTTCTTTACAGAAGGAGATCTTAAAACTGATATCAGAGTTTAGATTATTAACTTTGGGTTTCTTTCATTGAAGGATATGTTGTTTGGAGAAGTCACTGGTTCCAGTGATGAAGAAGGTGATTGCAGTGCTTCTGCAGTAGAAGATATTTTACAAGAAGACCAAGTTCAGCCTCTGAGTTGTAATGTAGTCAGCCTCAATGAGGAGTGCAACAGACAGAGTAAATCATGTGAGCACGGTCTTAATGCAGAAATCTCACTTAATCTGAGTTGGAATGAAAAGAACATTCATATCAGTCCAAAGATGTCAAGCAAGGAGGAGAGAGATGCTGAAATAAAGCAAGCTGAAGCTGCTACTTTAATTACAAACATGGAAACTAACAAAGATTGTTGGGAGGAGAATTCTGAGAATATGGAAGCTGAGAACAGAGAATTAACTGAAGCAACAGCACATGAAGTGGAAGACATCGAACAGGAAGGAGATAGTGAGGACATGTACAGTGAAGAGGGAGGTTCTTTAGCTCATTTTATGTTACAAAGTTTCAAGCCTCAGAATCTGATGGAAAAAAGTAGTGAGCAAACAAAGGAGAATGTAACTTTAATCAGAGGTGTTAATAATAATGAGGATACACATGAAAAGCATAATGAATTAATGAAAGCAAAAGGCCAAGGATTATTAGGAGAGAGAGGAACTCCCAGGAAAGTATCTGTTCCTCAAAGTATTACTCATTTGCCAGCTGAGCAATGCATTGTGCTTCAAAGTGAAGATTCTGAGGAGAAATCTGGTGTGTTGATACAGAATGAAGTTGTGGAATATGAATCAAAAAATTTAATCAAAGTAACTAATACGGCTGGAGCTATTGAGATCTCTGCACACTCGCAGTGCTCTGAAATAAAACATGACAGTGAAGAGATACTGGAGAAACAACATGTGCAAACAATAAAAGATGAAGTGAGCAGAGAATGTGAACCAGAGACTGTTAAAGTCTCTAGGCATTTCCTACCTGTATCTGCTATTGAAGGAATCAGAAATCTCTTGTCAGCCTCTCCAAAAGATGATGAACAGCTCAAAAGTGAAGACATGAATGTAACCAGAGCTCCAACTATTGAACTAGCCATGAAATTTAACAGAGGAAGTGTTCTAGAAATAGCTGAATCATCAGAGTTACTCCATAGTACAGAAAATGGAAAGTTATTAGGCATAAAGAAGGGGGAATATTTGAAAAGCAAACCGCATCAGGAAGAAAATTATAGTAATTTATCTCAAGGGAAGTCAGACTTGGAAAGTATACTTGCACTACCAACGACAGCATGCATTATCGATGCAGGAAGCAGTGTAGCTAAGTGTGAATCCTCTGTGTTAGGTTTTACAGAAGTGAAAGGTGAAATAAAACAATCTGAAAACTTGTATAGTACATTAGAATGGGAGCAGTCCAAAACTCAAAACTTTAGGGAGCTTGAATCTCAAGGGACTCAATTCAAAGTTAATCCAGAAGATTTTGGAGAGGAAAGTGGTGAGCTGTTATCAAGAGGGGATTCTATTGAATCTATCTTAGTAGAAAGTAATCTTACTTCTCAGGCACAGTTTGCAAAACCTCTGAATCAGTTCTTGATAACTGAAAATGTTAAATGTGATGAAATAAAAGGGGAATTAAATATGGTGACTGAGACTTGCTCCAGTTTATTTAACTGTGAAAAGAATGCTGTGAAGCAAAATAATTTTTCAGGGATCATCTGCCAGCCTACTTCAGAAATGGATTATAAAAGTGACTTGGCTTTTTCTACTCAAGAGGACTTGAAGAATCACTGTATAAGTAATGAAGAAACAGATTCTCCTGTGCAAGTGGGAATTGGCTTGGAATCCACAAGGCCTCCTGATCTAAATTTCAGTCTTCTGAAAGTTGTTGATTTAGTTGAAACTAATGTCACAGGAAAGGCTACTTTTTCTTGTACATGGGAAAACAAGGGAGACACAAATTGTGTTACGGGTAATACATTTAACTGTTCTTCAGAAAGCTTGGAAGAGAGTGCTGAGATCCTGTCTGCTGAAAAAGGCAACGTGTGCAAAGAACTGGGCTGCCTTGAGAGGGGATACATACACATAAATGAAGTGAAAATTCCAGATAAGGAGCAAACAGTAGATAAAGAACCTCAGGCATCTGTTAAATCACAGATCTTGGATGCAAACTCTTATGAGAAGAATGCTTTTCTCCTCCAAAAGTTTGATTGTCAAGAATCAGGATGCAGAACTTCTACATGGGAGGTTAGAACAGATCCTTCTAGAACTGGTTCACTATTAGCTGGAGGAGAAAGCAAAGAACTGAATAGTTCTGAGGGATCTGGGGAATATGCCCTTGAAAGGTGTAAAAATGATTTTGATAGGTCAGAGCAGAGCAATGACTTTGAAGAGAAAGACTGTTCTATACAAAAAGTTATGTATGTGAAATGTTCTAAATGTGGTCCCACGTTCAGAAAGGAACTGAGAGCTTCCAACGGAATTGCAGTGGGTGCTCTGGAAACTAGTGCAATTGTTGATGCTGATTATCAAGTGTGTGAACTTCATTCAGTGATGCACCCAGGAAATACTTTTACAGTTAGTCATCTAAAAGCAGACACTATGGTGGATATGGATCCATGCTGTGAACCAAACAGCTCTGGAGATACTGCAAATGAGTGGTCAAGTGTGGCTGGGGAGAGTTATCCTAAAAACTCAGCCTCTTGGAAAAGGAAGTTGGTATTAGTAACCTCTGAAAATACTGAGGGTGATAATGAACTCGTAGATTCTAGCATTGCTGGATGCATTAATGGCAGTGAGGAAAGTCTGATAAAAACTGGGACATCAAAAGAAAGCCCTGTGATGCCAAGTGCTTCAAAAAATAGATTACCACTATGCAAGATGTTAACCAGATTCTCAGAAAATTGCAGGCTGACTGTAAAAACCAGTAAATTAAATACAAGAGTGTTAGCGCTTGGCAATTTCTTAGAAGGAAATGACTCTGAAAAACTTCAGTCAAATGTGGAAAAAGGTCTACTACCCAATGTTGATATGGGGGTCTCAGTGTTTGAAGAATATAATAATCAAACCTCTTGCAACATAAGAGAAAACAACACTGATGTTATCATAGATAGTAGTAGTAGAAAAAACATTTTCCTCAAGTATCTTCCAAATCCAGCCCTATCTGATGTTAGGTGCACTTGTCAGACAGTTAAGGAGGAGCCCTCTGAGCCACAAAAGACAGTATTTGATAAGTCATGCATGTTGGAGTCAGATTCTTGTGCTCTCAAAAAGAGCAATAAATTTAATTGCCAACAGCAAGAACCATCTGAAATCTCAATTGTTTCTACCAAGACAGCTGCCCAAGTAATGCATACCAAGCTATCAAAGAGACTGTTTAAAGGTAAAAGAAAAACAAAGACTCTCAAAGTTACTCAGCCAGTTCTTGCAAATGCTGATATTTCTATGCCAACGAAATGCTCATCTGAGATGATAAATAAAATTAGGCAAGAGATAGGTCCTCCTCTGCCCCCCTTGCTACTGCCTTTGATTGCCAGTCCTCCTAAAACTGCTGGTACCATGCCCCCAGTAATGTCTTCTACAGGTCAATCCTCTTTGCTGTCCCCGCTTGATGGCCTGATATCCCCACTACACAAAACTCCTGTTCTTCCTCTCATTTCTCCATTAACAGATACTCCAACAGTAAAATCTGCTCTTTTATTTTCTCCTTCCTCGCCCTCAGAAGTGGCAGTAGGTAGAAGGATTTGCTCTTCACCTTTGAAATTTTGTACTTCCATTCCAAAGCATGCACTTCCCGTTCCAGGAAGATTTCCTCCCTTTGCAGCTGATAGTGCTAATCCAGGTGCTCCTCAAGAGAACTCTGTGAAAATATTGGACACTATGTATCCAGAGCTGTCTGCAAGGGCAAGGACACTAAACATTCTGAAAGGCAATATTCAACTTAACAGATGTGCTTTTTCAGACAGCCAAAGTTTGCCAGGACCTGTGTCTCAAATAGGCGGATTCAAAGCAATTGCATCTACATCAACTGCTTTTGTTAAAACTGGAAGCAATTTGAAATCTGATTGTAGCAAAGATGAAGACAAAGATATGCAAAATCAGCAATTGTTTTCGAGTTCATCAGATCATCTTGAAAAAAGGACACTATTGCAGGTATCTATGCCAAGAAGTGCCAAGAGACTGAGGTTGGACAGTGAACCGTCAAAGCTGGAGCCCAGTGATACTGCTGCTATCAGAAATACTAAAAATACAATCTCTGAAATGCAGACAGTTTTCCATGGTAAAAGCTGTGAAATCAGTGATTCATCACACAGTTCCAGTTTAGAAGCATCACTACCAGTAAAGAAGGTTATTGATTCTGACAGCCAGAAAGTTTCTTTGGCATTAAAGAAAGTTGCTGAGTCCTGTTTTGACTTGTTACCAGTTATTAAAGGTCACGTGTATGTTGGCAATATCTCAAAGATTCCAGTAATGAGAAATGAAGAGAAAGAAGTTGTCTATGAATTTGGTATAAAAAACAAGGTAAGTAGCATAATTTTAAATTTTATGTTTTAATAATCACTTCTGTGCAGATGAGGACTGTAAGTGTGTAGTATTTGAATTCTCAATTGTTCTGGCAATCTGTAGTGCCAAAGTGTAGTCTTGAAAGGTTATTAGACATCTCAATTTGTATAACGTAAGAAAATAATAGAACTGCACAAGAAATTACTGTCCAGTGGTGTCTGAGATGCAAAAGTGCATTTATAAGTACAGAATCACATAATATTCTGAGGTAGAAGGGACCCACAAGGATCACAGAGTCCAACTCTTAAGTGTACAAGGATCAGTCCTGTAACCATGGCATTATTAGCACCATACTGAGCACCAAGCCAACTCAGGGTATAGTAGATATGCTTTTCTGATGTATGCATAATCCACTTTATTTTTGCAGCATTTTTTGAAGGGGGTAGTATTAACAGTTGTAGAAGGAGTTCCTCCAAAATGAATTTTTTTAATTAAATAAGATAAAATTTATTGAATAATAATAAATAAGATAAAATACCTTTATTATTCTATATGAGGTTGTTCAAATGAATTTTATTGGAAAAATCTTCCCTTAGTTTGTTTCCCAAAACTTGCTTAGCATCAGCGCTGAAAAATTTCATTTCAGTTGCCATTTTTCTCATAGATAATTTGTAGCCTACAGCAGAGCAGTTCACCAACTGATACATGGCAGCAAGTATCCTGTTACATTTTTTGTACATAATTAAGTTCTCCTTAGAAGTTGCTACCAAGATCTTCAGGTCATCTTTGTTAGGAGTTGCCAAATCTGTAACTTCTTAGAAGCAAAGCTGTGACAGTGTTATGTTTCCAGGTCCAACCAGTGGAAAGGCCAAGTATGTACTCCAAATAGACACACATGCACATAATATGCACCTAATCTTATTCCCTTCTCTGACTAATTGGAGTGAAAGCCCGGTAATGGACAATACATATATATATGTACAGGCAGTAGGGATTCCTCCAGTAGCTAACATTAGGCACTCAACATATCCAGTAGGTGGCTTCTGTTCTTCACACTTGTCTTGTGCTCTGGCGGATTTACAGACCAGAAGCACATACATATTCCTTCAGTAGCTGGTCCAAACATGTATCTGACTCTCAGACTCGTAGTCTTTCAGGTGGCTGGCTTGGACCTCCTGGTTCCTCACAAAGCTAACACTCAGACTACCTAGTGTCTGCAGGTACCCAGTCTGAACCATGTATTCTCCAGCATCTGGCTTCTAAGTGTCTCATTCTACTCCCCACTTTTATCTCTCCCTCTAAACATCCTGTAGTAAAGTGTGCACAATCCCAATATTCTCTTTCCTTGCATCTCGTATTGAGTCCCATGTTACTGTAGGCAGGGATATCTCATCCCTACCTCCTGCAGTATGTAAGGTGGTCTGGGGAGAGACTGCTGTTAACCAGTCTAGTAAGCCTCACACCTGGAGTGGGCTGTTTGCCCTGTAGCAGCTCTGGAGTACCTGTCAAGATGTTGTATTTGCTTTGATTAGGTTATTATCCTCTACCTGTCATTATTCCTCTCCTCATTCCCTCTACCTGTTATTATTCCTGTCCTTGTTCTTTCTTTGAGAAAGATTGTTTTAAATCATATAACTAAACAATCTATATTTAAAGAATAGCAGCCCTATTCTGCATCTGTTTAAGGCATATTTATTCTGGGAAGTTGCTCCTCACTCCTTTTTCTTTCACTTGTTGCCTCTGATTTAGTTTTCTGCATTTTCATATATATGCAAATAATATTTTTGCAAATAAGACAGTAGTCCTTTTTATTTGTCATACTACTACAATATTGTCAATATTCTTAAGAATATAATAGTCTAACAGTATTTTTTGTGTCTTATAGCACTTAGCAGAGTCCTTGCTGCATGTTATTCTCAATAAACTCAAGAGTCAGAAGAATGCCACAAATTACAGCTTCAATCAGGCTCTGTGTCGAGTCTATGCAGGAATTTGTCAACAGTTGGGAGATTTGGAAAGAGCTCGCCTTTTCTGCTATAGCTTACTTAAAGAAGGTATAGTATGGCTTATACTGTGTGTCTTTGCTGTAGTGTTCAGAATTATTATGTTTGTAAAAACAAACAAAAATTCTGTGAAAGGATTGTTTTTCTTAGAACTTTTTTCTGTAATGCAGAAGTATAGACTGTTCTAGAAGAAATTTCTGTTCTCACAGTTCCTTCACATCTGTGTCATAGTTTGGTGGTGACCTGGGCTTGTGGTAGTCTACTTATTTTTCCAGAGAAATATTTTACTTAGGATCCTCTGTGCTTTCATTTTTGCCCCACCATCTCCAAAATGATAATGTGATTCCAGGGACTTTTGTTCTTTTTGCCTGTTAGTATTTTCTTATTTTAATTAAGTACTTTAATTCATAAAGTAAGTGGGAGTTAAAAACATGTATTGGCCTAAAATAGTGTCAGGAGCTGGACAATGCCTTGATCAAAACTTGTGTATTTTTACGACATGTCCTCCCTAAAGTTTTTTTACTTCCCATTATTCAAAGTCTCGCTTGGTTTAGTTCCCTTCCTCTCCCTCGCTTCCTTTTGTTCCCAGTAACAAAGGTAACACATACATAACTATCACTGTACTAAATTAAGAGTCTTAGTTTTGGAAGGACTTCACTAAGTTTGAAAGTACCAATAATATGCAGGACTTAACAGTATACTGGTATCCATGTTTCAAATCAAAATAAAATTTGCGAGCACTGAGGAGCAAAAATGCTAGAACTCATGATTGTTTCAATTAGTGATTATCTTTCATAGGAGCCCCTGGTGGTCTAGTGGTAAAGGCGCGGCGCTGTCACCGCCGAGACCCGGGTTCGATTCCCGGTCAGGGCCACTCCCGGGCAGGTGGGGCTCGTTAGCCCTTAAAGGCAACCCACCTACGTCCTAAGGACCTCGCTGCCACCGTCCAAGCTCGCTTGGCCCCGGCAGATGAACCTTAGGATTAAAGGGTGGGCTCAGTTCCGCGCACACTGTGTCTCACCTAAAAAATCCAATGTGCAGGCTGGAAGGTGTAAAGACCTTCCCCAGATCTTCGCTCGCGAAGACTGGCCATTATTATTATTATATCTTTCATATAACATTCTTGTCTTTTTTCTGTTTTTTTATCTTTAAAAGGTTTGTGATTTCATTTTGTTCTTAATGATCTTTTTTTTCTGGGGTGTCATATTGTTATTGGTTTGGATTTTTTCTTGGGTTCTTTTTGGAATTCCTGTTTTTGTATCTGTTTTTCTATCCTTCATGCAGTCCATTATAACTCTCCTTTTACTTTTTTCATGTTAATAGTTTTAATACTGCACCATGTTAGAAACTATTACTTGTCAGATATCTTTTCTTAGTCTAAAATAACAGTTATGTCTTTTGTTTTGCAGTATCTTATTACTTTTTCTTTTTGTGTGTTCTTGCAAATACTAAACATTCCCCTTTTTTTCCTTTTTTTTCTGGGTAAAATTGAAACTTCAGCAGCTCAATGCAGACTTTTTTTGAATTATTTTCTCTTTTATACCTTGAATTGCATAAATTTCTGTTGTTATTGTTCTGTGGTTTTATACTTATCTTTTGAGTGTGAACAGCTGTAAGCACAATTTAAAGGTAATTTAGTTTTTTTAAAATTTGTTTGCTTTTATTTGATTACAATGTACTAATTTTAAGGCTTTCTCTTTCATGTAGTTTCACATATTCCCTTGAGAATTATGGCAATGCAAGCTACCTAATTAACAAATTGACTATAAACAGTCTGTACTACCTCCTTAGACTTGCATCATCTGTTGTCTTGACAACTTGTCCATCTTTTTTGTTCTGTTCTTCCTTCAGGTATTCTGCCTTAAATGACAATAAATAAAATACTACAGGTTTTTGGTTATTTTGTCTTTGTCCTCTGTTCCCTTCCTCTTTTCTTTTTTTTTTAAACTTTACTTCTTTTGATGCCCCTTTAACAACTAGTCTTTTACATCACTGAGTGAATTTTATAAGTGTTTCAAATTCCTGGGCAGGCAATTCAAGTTGAAGCACATAGATAATTCTGTCCATGTTCTGATAGAAAAAAGTTAATTTTTACGTGATGAGCAGCTTCAGAGTAGAAGAAGGTTCATCCAAGACACTAAATTCTTTATGCTCATTAAAGCTCCATGATTTGATGTATTTTGATATGCTCTCTACTTCTTGAAATCTTCCAAAAAATATAGAAGTTATGCTAAAGTGAAGAGGGAAGGCACATTTAGCTTTTTACATTTCATTGTTTTTTGTACAGTGTTCCAGGCATATGTATTCCAGTCCTGCATTCCATGCATGAAAGTAATATGTACTTTTTTACTTATTCCAATGTATTTGTTATTGCTTACAGTCTACACACTCATGTTTCATCTTCATATTCTGCTTTGAAGCTTTCTGCTTTGGTGTTCAGAAGCATCTGTTGGCTTCCTCTTGATGGCCTGGAACTCTGTTCTCTCTTACTGATAGATGTCAGATACTTGCACTGAATTACTGTAATGAATGAGGATTCTTGAATTATATGAGAGTAGTGCAAATGTTTATGTCCATAGAAGTACAGATATTAATATGCATCATTCATATATTCTCACATATAACTTGCATAATGTATCATTTCCCTGACAAAGTCCGGGAAAATTGCTAAGGAATATCATATGTGAATTGTATGAAAGTTCTTTGCAGGCTTTTTCTTTTTTTTTATGTGGATTTCACAGCTGTATGAGTGTAAGGTATTAGCTAGTAGTGTGGATTATTTTTTTCTTTGGACTAGTTCTAATTTGATCCATCGATCAGAGTGCATATTTGGGTCTAGAATATATACAGGTAGGCTTTTGGAGTGCATCTTATAGTTTAATCCTAAAAGAATCCAGTTTCAATGCTCCAAGATCACTCTCCTTAGTGAACTAAAGTGAAATAAGAAAGATAAAGGGAGACAGAGTGAAATTACAATGGAGGAGGTGGCTTAAGGTTTGGGTAGGGTTTTTTTGCCTTGGGTCTTATTTTCTTATTTAGTCTTGGGACTGAGATGTGCTAGTATGACTCCCCTTCCTTGGGTGACTTCTATGCCTTCCTTGCTAGTTACAATGCTGAAGACTGTGCTGGCTTTTAATGACTGAATATATATTTTTTGTTGGTTTTAAATATTAAAATCATACTTTGTTATTTCTTTTTTCCTTAGACTTTCCAGACTCAGAAAAAATGATTTTATTTATCACAAATGTATGGCCTGACATCTTTGTCTTCCAAGGCGCAGTTAACAAAGCTATGCAATTAGTTGTCAGGCAGAGTGCAAGCAATGAGATGCTGGCCTGTTTGAGTGCTTACCTCAATTGGGAACAGGTAATGTCTGCTTTCACTGTCATTGTCAGCTTTTGTCTGCATTGGTCACTTTGCTGTCTGAATCAAATCAAGCAGCTTACTTCTGATGAAGGGTGTGAAGATCCCATGATGGAGTCTGTACAATTGCACAACTGATGCTACTTCAGGCCTTTTTCTTGTAGTTGTCTAGACTCTATTAGAATGCAATACTTTTCTTGTTTTCCCTGTTAAATACTAATCTCTCTACTAAACATTAAAAGTAAAGATTGTTTTTAAACTTAAACTAGCATGTTCTTGGAGTAGGGAATTCCCTCCATCTATGGAACTGTGACCTGGGTGTTCTTTGAGATGTTTTTTTGTTTTGTTTTTTATTGTTGGGTCTTTTTAATACAATTGGGTTTGTCTGCCTTTCATAGTTCTCTGTATAATAGGTAATAATGTATTACAATTAATTTCAAGATGAGCCTGTCTCTTTTTATTCATGATCTTTCTGCAAGGTAGACTATAAATACCCATTTAATCACCAAAAAAAATCAGCCAGTTAATTTCATAAGTAGTTAGCATGATCAATACAAAACAAATGATGGCAGAAAAATGGTGACCAATGTTAAGGACTTTTGAGATTTCATTTCAAGTTTTTGAGCCCTTGGGCAAATAATTTCTATCAGTTTTCAGCAGGCATATATTACCATCCTGAAAGGGATTCTGCAAAGAGGAAAAATTGGACACACTTGAAATCATTAAGAACAAATTTATATTATAGAGATGGAAAGCCAGAGGTGCTTTGCTTGTGGAGAAGGAGTTTATGTAACAGGCTTGTGTGGTTGTTAGAAGGCTAGGGCCCTGTATTTTTGAAAATCCCATATTAATGCTTGATGGAAGTGCTATAGTTTTGTAAATACCAAGTGAACAAAATCATATTGATTCATAGCTATCCTGGTTCCAGCCAGGACAGGGTTAATTTTTGCAGTAGCCAGAAGGGGGCATGGCTAGGACCCATAGGTTGGTTATTCTACATATTCTATACCACTTCACATTGCCCAGGTGTGGGAAAGGGCCTCTCTTCCAGGGAGAAGGACTCCCTTCTGGGTTGGCATAGCTTGGTGGGGGGAGCAGTCAGTTATTGTTGTTTCTGTGTGAATCATTAGCCTCATTCTTCTACCCTCTGTTACTAGTATTATTGCTGTTACTGTTTGATTTCTTACCTCACTGGCTCATGGTTTCACTGAGAGCACTAAACTGGAGAATACCATTCCTAAACCATGACAATAGCTCACCTGTTCCCTGTCCTAACACACTGTTCCACAACTGCAGCTAGTCTTACTGCTGTCATAATAGCCTTTATTTCATGTTAACTTTTTTTTTTTCTTTACATCTGAAACAAGCCCTGAATCTAATATGGTATCACTGGAATTACAGCCCCCATAAACCTGCTTTAGTGCAGGTTTATAGTGGAGTTCTGCTTTTTTTTAATTGTTAAATCACAGTTGTGATGTAGCATTAAGCTCTGATATTCAGTTATGCTGTACTGCAGTTCCTGTTTAGTAAAGAATTCTCCATTCTATTAGTTTACAGCTTTAAATTTCATGCCAATAGAGATGCACGTAAGTATGTCTTAGTAAATGTTCTTGGAAATACTAATTCTGTGCACTCACACTACCTACTTTATTTATGGATCTCTGAAATATGAGAGCTGCTGCAGCTGGGGAGAAGGACCTCAGAAACTTCTGTGTTGATGATAGGAAATTACATCATCCTATCTGTAAGTTCTTTTTTACTTAGGTGGAAATACAGGGAAAAATTTCAAGTAGATTGTGATCAACAGTCTCTTATGAGAAGATTATTCTACTTATGAAAGTAAAACTCAGGTAGAATGGGTCTTTATTTCTTGGTCAAAGTATACCGTTTTAGTGACTTATACCATGGCAGAACTTGCCTATTATATGGGCTTTGGTACTGAGAAAATCTGCCAAGCAGCCACTTTGTTTATGTGTAAGCCTGGGTTCTTTGCCGGGATACTTCAGATCTTCAGAGAATGTTTGTTTTTCTTCCCCTAGCTATTTAATTAGCAGAATTGTTTCACATGGTATGTTTTTAGTTATTACTACCTCAACTGTTGAAAGTATTTGCTTGGAAATTAGCCCCTAATGAAAAATAAAACAGTAGCAAATTTTAAAATTATTTAGAAAGTGAGAACTATTAGTCAAATCTTCTTGCATTTGAAGAATATTCTTCTGACCTTAAAGCTGCATTGAGAGAAACAAAAATCCCCAACTTGTAGAAGGAGATAAGAGAGTGCATGTGAAGTCTGTGGTTTTTGCTGTTTGAGGTTGGTTTTTTTCCAAACTCCCCTTTTAGTAGAAGTGTCAGGAAAAATACCGAGTACTTGAAGGTTTTGGGTTATGTACTTTATTTGTGTTAATTCAAACCAAAAGTTGGATTTATGGTGTAAGATGTTTTGTACAGTCAGTATCAAATACATGTAAAGAGTTTGGTTCTGGACTGGTAACTTTTCATGCACTAAGATGATTACCTTCTAAAATTCCAGAGTTCCTCTTCAGATGCTGTTCTTATGGTCTCAAACCTGCTTTTAGAAATGCAGTCATGTACAAAAGTAGAATTTCAATTGAGTGAGCACTACGGAGAAGATCTGAGTGAAGATGCTTGGCAGTACATATTTGCTGTTGATCTGCTCTGCTCTCACCTGAAGTGGGATTGGACACATGACAATGTTATAAGGTATTGTCGCAAGCAGTTCTTTCAAGTGTTTTCCTGTGTGTGGTTTTTCTGTGGTTTGGTTTTGGTGGTGATTTTTTTCCCTCTAAATTCGCTATGACTTAGCTTTTAATGTAATAAAATATTGGATAGTTATTTAGAAATGAGAGTGTTTTAACTTGATGAGACCTAGACTCTTGTGTTTTTGTGCCTTATTTTAAGATAGAATGAATGATCAATAAGGAAAGTTAGGATTTTATGGTACTGTTCCAAGAAATGAACCCTGTTTGAACAGTTCTAGTAAACAATTACTTTCAAAATAGCTCTATGTGGATGATTTTGAAAGATTTTGAGATGAATTGTCTGTCAGTGAGCCAAAATTATTGTCTTCCTCCAAACTTGTTGAATTCCCCTTCCCCCATCAGGAATAAATGAGGGTGGAACTTCTGATATGTAAATAGCACTCCTGAAAGTGAACGTAAATAGTGCTGAAAGTGAAATGTACCCATAAGTGTTAGTGTACTATCCTGACTTCAGTTTGATTTTAATTCTAAAATCATCATAATAGCTAGATTCAATATCTTGAATTTTCTTTGAACCTGTAATCCAGTACCTGGACTGCTACCATACTTAACCTACTTTGAAATATTTCGTTTTGACACCTACACTTATCTGACAGCCCTGATTTTCTAGAGGCTTCATAACGTGGTAGACATTCTTTACCTGACATGACATAATTGATTATAAAGTAAATGCAAATAACTAACAATCATCGTCATCTTTTATACAAGTTCCATTACTTTCAAATAGTAAAGAAGTTACTTTTGGTTAAATACTTATAAATTAATACAAATTAGCTTCAGTATATCAGTTTAATTAAAGCCATACAGAGTTGATTGTGTGGAGTTGTGCTGGTAATAGGTCTATTGGCATAATTTTAAAGATTAAAAAAGTCTTGGGTACTTTTATGTTTAAAAACAAGTATCAGATCCTACTTGTAACATGCAAGTTGACTTTTTAGTCATATAAGAAACTTACAGAACATTCCAGCATGACATTTGGAAGTAACACAATTTCATATATATCTATGAAGTCAGTCTACCAAGGTCAGTCGAGATGCAGAATGTTGCAGGGAAATGAATAGAAGATGAAGATGAATCCTATCCAGGATTGATTCCATCAGAAAGTTAGCCTTGATTGTTCGGGTTTGAAACCTTCTTTACATTTCTCCGATTTGTGGATGCTTGGAGTATTAGGAGTTTCCCTAGAGGGTGAAGTAAAGATGCAAGTGGAGCTATGGAAATATGTGGTAAACAAAAGAATCATTTGCCTTCATTATTGTATGAATACTGTACCATCCCTTCATGCAGTATCAGATTTTCACATTCATTTGTCTTTCACAGCAAAGTGCTTTGGCCTTCTATGGATAATTGGGTAAAGAAGAGAAAGGGGCAGGAAACTGCTCAGTCCGTTCGTGATAGTGTTATAGCACTGACACTCAGGCTAATTGGTAAGTAATCCAAATTCTTGTTTGAACTTCTGCTTTGTATAGCTATGTCATTTCAAAGTGTTAGACTGCCTGGAAAGTGAGTTGACGTATTTTTGCATTTTACTGCATCTTTATGTAGATATTTTCTGTTTATCAGCCTGTGGAAATCAGGTACTTAAGTCTTGAGAGATGTTACTCTGATTAATGATAACAAATACCAACATGTTTTATGTATTTTAAACAAAATCATCTGTAGCTACATACAGAATCATAGAAATCCTGAATTGGAAGGGACCCACTAGGATCATCAAAGTCCAACTCCTGACCCTACAGAGGGACAGCCCCAGGGTTCATACCATGTGCCTGAGCATTGTCAAAATGCTTCTTGAACCATCTTCTGAGTGAAAAACCTTTTCTTAATAGCTAACCTAAACCTCCCCTGACATAGCTTCATGCTATATGGTTTATCGCAAAGGGTTTAAGGTGTTTAAGTGTGTTAGCAAAGTGTTTAAAATTAATTTATATGCAACATAATACCATTGTAATTTTAAGTTATATTAATTTATTTGGGATCTAGAAGGCATTTGAGGTAAATAGATATAGTTTGAGTTTCAATATATATTTTCCACATGTAAGCTATATAATACTGTTTGTTAAACAAAAATTGCAGTCTTTATGACTTCTAACACTTAAAAACTGCAAACTGGATCAATCTGATGAAAAATGCCTTGGGGTCTTTAGTTACAAAAGAAATAGGACAACTGTTGTTCCCAAGACAACATGAGAACAAGAATGACTATGTTTTGTAATCGAAGTTCGTATTTTCTGTTGATACTTCAACAGACAATCAGGAAGTCTACAAGTTAGGAAGTTGACTGTCTAAATAGTCAGATACATAATAACCCTTTTTTTTCTTTCAGGTCGATTGGGCCAAATAGGTTTGAAGGAAGGATATCTTGCTGCAGTGAAGAATATTAGTTCTGTAATTGGACTGTTTGTACAGCATACAAAAGAGGAAGGTAATGTATATTTTGAGGAACTTTAGCGTAATATCTGCAATGTGAAGTTTTGCCAATGCCAGAACATAACACAAATTGAGACACACATGCCAAAACAGCGTGTTTTTGCAGTTTATGTTAGTTATATTACTCAAACAGTTTTCAGTTTGAGTTCCTTTCTCTTCCAAAGTTAATGAAGTATTAACAGTATTACCTTCTGTTTGAGACAGAGAACAATTCTGAGATGGTTTTAGCCACCTTGGAATTAGACTGTTTCATGTAAGAGCCTGTAGCTACATTAGAGAACTTAAAGGGTGATCTTAACTTGAGCAGCAATAGCTAATTTTTTACCTGAGCAGTTCATGCTGAAGCTTACTGCTAGCAAGATTGTTGTATGGGAGAAAGACAGTCCAAATTCTTGACTGAGACAAAGCAAGGCAGTTAGGGCAGCAGAGATCTACATTGCTAAGTTATTCTGGATGTCAAGTACAATTTGCAGTGATGCACTGGTTGATGTTAGGGAGCTGTTTTGAGCCACCACTATAGCTTCTCTTCCTTGCAATCTCAAGTTCTTCCAAGTGAGTGGTATATGTCTGTATCCGTTTCAGACTCTGTAAACCTGGCTGTTCCATAAGTCTGATCACTCTTAACTAGAGTAAAATCACTAGATACTCAACCATTTTATGCCCTTTGAATGCTGAAAACTTGCTGAATTGAGAAGACCAGAAAGTGCGAGTATAAAATGTTATGGAATCTGTGTGTAGGTTGTCATCTTGCTACATTCTGGTTTTAGACATCACAATTGTTGATGTGTTTTATTTCCAGTTCTTGAACTAATAGTTTATTTAGATTCAGAATTCCCTAAAACATTCTTGCATATCAAAATTTCTGTGAGCTGATTTGTGTTAACTTTTGGCAGGTGTTCCCTGGGGTGTGCAGCTGGCAGCCATATATTCACTATGTGACTTGGGTTCAAGCAATCCAGAAGGTATTGTTGAGGCCATCCATGCTTGGAGAGCAACAGTTCTTAATGAAATCCCTTCTGCTGTCATAAGTGGCATAGCTGAAATCACTTCTCTATGTGAAATGGAGCTAAACTAGGGAAGTAGACTGATCTGAAGGAAGAAGTGCCTTACCAACTAAGCAGTACTTGGTTCCAGTTAAAAACAATACAGAGTGGTGTATCTTCTTGTATTTTATGTTTTTAAACAGAATGTCTGATCATGCAAAGCAAGCTCAAGTATTTTTTTGGCTTTTCTGTTTGAGGAAAGAGGTTTTTAAGAAATAAATTAAAATACTTACTTTTCAGTGATCTGAAAACCCAGTACATCCTTAACTTCTGAGATATTTCTGGTTTGATGTCAATAAAAATCAGTAATACTTTTCATTCTTTTTCTTCCATCAGTTTGGAGTATGGGCTATTTGACACAAAAGAAAATTCAGCCTGACTTGGAAACTAGCTCTATTATTTTGTACTCTATTTATAAAGTAACCATTCAGATAGCAGAACTTTGCCCAGATTCTGCTTTATTTTGCTTGGGTAATCTCATAAATTTAAAATATCTGTGCAAAACAGGTAGGAATTGACTTTTTGTGTAGCAATCATGTATAGAATAAGAGAGATATTAAATCTCTCAACTTGTATATATGGTGTATTCTAATGTGTCTCACATTTGGTATTGTTCCACCTGGGAAATTTTGTGTATGTAAATACAGATTGGTTCAAAAAAAGTTCATGTTTGTAATGGTAGCTTGCTAGACTGGTTTTGTATCTTTCATAATAAAAGAGAAAAACACCATTATGTTTTTGTTGACCTGTTTAAATAACACAGAATTAACTTTTGTTTCTAGCTTATATAAATACTACTTTGGGGGGGAAAGGTGGTAATTATCTGATGAGATCATTTCACTAATGACATTTCCCATAACTGCATAACTGCAGTTCTGGCCACTGCAAAGAGAGTATATTACATCTCTCCAGAATTTTCTGGTATGCTTTGAGGGCTTGGGAGGTAGCTTTAAAAAAACATTGAAAATGTCTGTTTTCACTATGATTGTAACCAAGTGAAGGGGTGAGCTTTGCTAATGCAAGTTTTCAATTGTTGTGGGTTTGTGCCCAGTTCAGAAGTTCAGTTTCAGAAATTCACACACAAATGCACACACCCCCTATTATCTGCCACTTGTCAGTACCCACAATTTTAACCGTTTTTCACGTAACACAGAAAAGCAATAGGGTGTTTTTTATGCAAGGATCTATTTAATTTTGCTTCAAGAACAGTAATTTTACTAGACATGCTGCAGTCTTGGCCTCTGTAGTCTTGTAAATATGTTTTTTGCCATGAATAATCAAAGGCCACAGATTTTGTACTGACCTGGCAGAGTATGGTTTCAGGACTGTCCTGGTTGTAAATTTGTAAATTTGTCAAGTGATTACCACCTCATCTGTTTTAGCTTTAGTTCTGGGCATATCCTATATGGTGAAAGTCTGACATAGCTAAGTAATCAGGGCATAACCAACAGCCCTTTGTGTTAAGTAGGTTGAGAGAGGTCAAACTGCAGCTTTCAAACTTAAGCTGGAAAGGAATGTGAAAGGAGAAGGTTGAGGTGAGTAAACTTACAAATACAGCCCATTTCAGGTGGTCTAGAAATACATGAGGGAGTTTTCTCATCTTTTAAGCAAGAAAGCCGGACAAGAACGGTAGTAGTGCATTAAATTGAGCATGTTGAGGGTAATTTCTTAATCCAGGTGATAGATCAGAGAAGAACTTTCTAAGGACGTTTTCCTTAAAAGAGGTTTCGATTTCCATATATAAGAAACAAGGCAGGAAAAGGACAAGACCAGCATAGCTTAGTAAAGACCTCCAGCCAAATGAAAGTGTAAGAAGAAAACGCACAGGCAGTGGAACCAGGGACATATATCATGGGGAGAATACAGGGATGCTGCCTGGATGTGTAGGGATAGGATCAGGAAAGCTAAAGGACAGCTGGAGCTGAATTTGGCATGGGATGTGAAGAATAAGAAGAGGTATGTTGCAGGTACGTTGATCAGAAAAGGAATATTAAAGAAAATGTTCACACTGTGGGAAATAAGACATGAGAGCTACTGACAATCAACATGGAGAAGGCCGGGGTGCTAAAAAATTTTTTTACATCAGTTTTCAGTGGTAATCCCTCTTCCAACCCCAAACTTCAAGGCATGGTCTGAGGAAGATTACTTGAGGAACCTGAACATAAATAGGTCCATGAGACTTGATGAGATACATCCCATGGTCTTGAGAGAATCATATTTGTAAAGTTATGGTGGTCAGGTAAAGATCCCAATGGCTGAAAACAGGGAAACATCACATCCATGTGATGGGTGAAAGGGTGAAAAGGAAGACCCTCAGAACTACAGACCAGTCAGTCTTATGTCTGTGCCTGGCCAAATCCTGGAGAAGTTCTTCCTGGGAGACATGCTGAAACATACAGAATACACAGAGGTGATTAGAGACAGCCAACATGGCTTCACCAAGGGCAAATCATGCTTTAGTGGAGAAGCAAGATAAATAACAGATGTGATTTACCTTGACTTCTGCAAGGCCTTTGATATGGCCCCCACAACAACTTGTTGCTAAATTGGAGAGATATGGGTTTAACGTATGGACTGGTAGATAAATAAGGAACTGGCTAGATGGCAACATGTAATAAGTGGTATCCCACAGGGACTGTTCTGAGACCAACAGTACTTAATACCCTCATGAATAACATAGGCAGTGGGATTAAGTGCACCCTCAGCAAGTGTGCTGATTACAGCAAGATGAGTTGTGCAATTGATTTTCTGGAGGAAAGGGATGCCATCCAGAGAGACCTTCATAGGCTTCAGGAGTGAGCCTATGTGAACCTTAAGCAGTTCAACGAGGACAGGTGCAAGGTCCTGCAAGGGCATTGGCAAATCGCTAATATCAATACAGACTGGAAGATGTATGGATTCAGAGAAGCCCTATGGATAAGGACTCAGGGATATTAGTGGGTGACAAATTAGGTAAGAGTGGGCAACGTGCGCTTGCAGCCCAGAAAGCCATTCACATCCTGGGCTGCATCAAAAAAAATGTGGCCAGCAGGTCAAGGGAGGTGATTCTCGCACTGTGCTCTGGTGAGGCCTCACTTGGAGTACTGCATCCAGCTCTGGGGTCCTCAGCACAAGAAAGACTTAAAGCAGGAGGAGGACCACAGAGGTGATCAGAGGGCTGGAGCACCTCTCCTATGAGGAACAACTGAGAGAGCTGGGGTTGTTCAGGCTGGAGAAGAGAAAACTGTAGGGAGACCTTATAGCAGCCCTTCATTATACAAGAAAGAAGAAGAAAGTCTCTTTGTTGGCACCTGTTGTGGAAGGCACCTGCAGTGAAGAGGAAAAGTTTCTAGCATGGAAACAGCAGTTCCAAAATACACTAGCTGAGGCAACAGCAGAAAAAGATGTGCCATAGAGCGATACATTGCGACTTTACCAGAACAGAGAGTATTAACTGAACTAGCCTATTAGAAACTGTTAATACATACTTTGAATTCAGTGTACCCCAGTTCTTACCGAATTTTACTCTCTTCTTCCCCTCATGTTTATCCCCAATTTTCCTATTGGTCCAAGTTTGCTGCAATGCAGCATTCCTATATTTGGTGACTTTCCTTCCCTACTTTCCATGTATGGCCTGAGCCCCTCCTACCTTTTCCATATATGTTATGATCCACCTCCTATTTCAGAACCTTCCCTAACCTACCCTATAAATGTAGAGCACTTCAGGGAATAAAGTGTAGTATCTCCAAGCCAGCGGCAATAGCTGCTTAGACTTACCCTTTGCTCAAATCCCTAAGTTGTCGTGTGATCCTTTCCTGATCAACCATGGCAACTTGTAATGACATGTCAAGGGGTAATGGTTTTAAATTGAGAGTAGATTTAGATTGGATACAAGGAAGACAGTATTTATGATAAGAGTGGCGAGACACTGGAACAGGTTGCCCAGAGAAGTTGTGGATGCCCCATTGTTGGAAGTTTTCAAGGTCAGTTTGGATGAGGCTTGAGCAACTTGGTCTAATGAAAGATGTCCCTGCCCATGGCAGGGGAGGTTGAATTAGATGATCTTGGTCCCTTTCAACTCAATTCTTTCTATTATTTTATAATTCTCTTCTATGATTTGAATTTGGATGAGAGTTTAGGGTTAGAAGGTTTAGGGTTTGGCTGAGGAACAGGGATTAGGATTAGTATTAGTGTTAAGGTTAGGGGAAAACATATAAAATCATTGCTTTTGAAACACAGAAACACATGCTGTGGTTATTTGACCTCACTGGGAATTGCCCAGTTTCCAGGGGAGATGGGAGGGGGAGGGGAATGGGGAAGTAGAGGAGATTAATTCAGAGAGGAAATAACTGATTACAGTTTGTGATATCAAGTTTAGAAAGGAGCTATAAAAGTAACAGCAAATATAAAAAACCCCTCAGTAATGAGATGTCTGAGAAAGCTAACCTAGACTATTCAAATGGAAATGGACATTTGAAAATTCCCCAGAAATGCCACAGCATTGAAGAACTTCCCATTTATTTTCTTTTTTTCTTATTTTCTGCTTTTTAAGTTATAGCAAATTCATATTGCCTAGATTGATTTGTTTATTTTGTAATTGTTATTTGCATATAAATGATTCACTGGAATATGAAGCATGAAAAGAATGTTGATATTAATCTGAGCATACATGTTCTTTTGCAAGCTTTCAATAACATTGCCTAAGTAAAATTTTAAAAGCACATTTATACAAATTCTTGTATTGCATCTCTTACCTGATTACCTAGTCCTTTTTAATTAAGCATGCATAGTATGTTCTATCACAGTGCTTAAGCATAAGATAAAGGTTTCTAAATGGATAACAGATATAAATAATATAATTGAGCAAATTAAAGAAGATACAATGAAGATCTACAGCATAGCTAACTAGGCAAATTTAAAATAAAGTTTTGCAGTGTTAACTTCTATCCCTCTGACCAGAAAGAGAGTTGAAACACATCTCATTCTATTCTCCTTTTTGTGAAGCCATCAGTATTTTAAAAATATTTCTAAGCTTGACGGCTAAAGACTAAGATGGTGGAGTTAGGCAAACAGCCTACATTTTCTTCCCACCCTCAGTACTCCAGAAAGGAAATGCTCACCACTCCAAAAGAAGTGCTCTGTTGACATCCATCTGGTAGAACAAAGAGGAGGTAGATAGGATTGATAAGCAGGCAAGGCTAAACCATGACTGTTTCAACTTAAAATAGGTGGTGGAAAATAACCGTGTATTAGTGTAGAAAAGTCTAGGCCATTTAATTTCATCTCAGTGTGCTCTGTTGAGAAGTCACCATGAACTCAAGCTTTGAGCACTGGAGTGCCATAGTTGGGTTCTGAAAGGTAAAACAAAAGGTAGAAGTTTTTTTAGTATATTTATAAAAAAAAAAGGAAAAGTAGTATCTTCAGAAAACTTTGAAACTATTCAGTTCCTAAAGTTATGTGTGCTCTTGTAAGAGCTGACATAACAAAGAAACATCAACAATGGTCACGGAATTGCTTTCACTGGCTATCAGAGGGTAAGGACTACTGTGTGAAATGTTGGGATACACCACTAGCTGAAATGACAGTGAATAGAGTAGAAATAATTGACAGGCAAAAAAAGGAGAGAAAGTTACCTTTGAAGAACCTCAACTCGGCCTAAATTGGAACTTCCTGAAAGAAACCAAGATGTTAAATGTAAATAAAGGTTAATGCAGGAAAGGGTTAGCATAGTAAGTGGCCTACCAGTTATCTCTCAAGATTAAGACTATAAAACTGTTGTTATAGTTCTTCCCAGGTATTCCTTCAATTTGGGCTAGAAAAACTCCAGTGGGCTGACCATCTAGTTCCTCCTCACTCAACTCTGACTTCCCAAGAATTTCCAAATCACTCCTCTAGGAATAATTTTTTTCCACCGTTGTACTTGCTACTATCTCCCTTAACATCCCCTTCTCCTGCTACACCTTTCAGTGATCTCCTGTACTCCAGTGTGGCCATATCTCAGCCAGGGGTCTACCAATTAAAGACTAGAGTGATACAGAACCATTTCTGTGATCCTGGAGACCAATGATGCTCCTCAGAAAAATTCAACATCAACAGCCAACAGAAATGGCAATTTACAAAAGACGGGGATGTAGTTTATTCACAGACATCATGTGAGAGATTTGACAGTGAACTATCATCTTGTTAGAATGACTTTTATCAGTGAAGTGCTATACTGAAAAATACAGTATATACCAAACCACAGTATTTGGTTATTTAAATATTTGAATCAGGATTGATTCTGCCTAACCCTTTGTGATGGATGCACCCCTTAACCAAACCACCTGTACAGGCTCCCAAAAAGGTAAAGGCTTGAGACACAGTCAGGCCAAAAACACCTCCAGGAAACCCACAAGTGAGCACAGTGATCCAGTGAGCAATGATGCATAGGAGCTTGTAACACTAATCCTCTGATTAACACATAGAAGGTGGGTTTTCCAAGACTTCTTTACCTAGGAACAAAGACAGTTGCAAGTACAAGGAGTTTTATGCATACCTTTCCCATCACATGGAATTTGACAACAAGCCAATCATTTTATTCCATAAATATGACAGCCTGAGTGAGTCTCCCTTGGGGTCCCTACTCATCAGCATGTCTGCATGGTGCGATCTCCCCTGAGCTGAGACACCTCTCAAGGTTGCTCCTCGAAGCAGAGAAGCTTTTCTACTAATGATAGATTGTCAGATGAGTCCAATTCAAATTCTCTCTAAATTGCAACTGAACTGCACACTAGTGACTCTTCAGTTGAGCTGGGATGCCTCTCAAGGTTTGAGATTCCTTACACGAGACTAAGAGATATTCCTTTACCTGAAGCAGAGAGACCCTTTATTCACAACAGATACTCGGTAAGTTGCTGATAGCATGCTGAAATAATACTAATGAAATCCATGTAGTTAATTCCTTTAGCTATAACCTGTTATCCAACAGGTCTGAGACTAAGACAGGACTAAGACAGGACCTAGCTACACCTATGCTCTATCAGCAGTTCAGAAAGGCAGAGGATCTACTCTGAACCTTGTCACTCAACACGAGGGTCTTTCTCACTCTTTTTTGTCTTTGGTCTCAGTGTAAATCATTCTAAAATTATTCAAATTCAACTTTTTTTAGTATGTTTCATCCACGATAGAATGAAACTTGTCATTGAACTTTGTTAAGTCATGTTTATATTATATTAAGACCACTTTTACTAAAACCTTTGATGGTGATTCTTTGACTGACCATAAACCACACATTTGCGACAAATTGGTGTAGCTGGCAGGATCCTAAATCAGAATTTGTTACATCCTGCTGCACTGGAGTGGATTCTCTAGAAAAATATTCAGCTGATTTATATGAAGTGCACAGGGCCTGGGAGCAACGCAACCAGAGAATTACCTCTCCAGAAACTGTTGTTGTATCTGTCAGATACAGATACATAGGCCTAAAGTTTTGTTTTAATTTTCTTCATAATGACTGTATTGAAAGACAGCATCAAGATGTGAGCAGCGTACTTCAAAATCAAATGAAAGAGAGGAAATTTAGCTGACCTAAACTGCAGTGTGACAGAAGAACACTAGACAATCCTGAGGAACCAAAAAGAACAACACTAGAAAACCATCTCTGCAAATGCTATAGTTTTCAAGGACTGCAAGGAACCAAGACCATAAGGCAAAGGGCAACCATCATCTATAGGAAACAGCCATGCTGCACACTAAAAGGTAAAAGCAAGGTTTTCCTTGACCTATTCCAGCCTCTGCATAAAGCCCTGCACATCATGCACTAAGCTGAAATAACACCAGGCAAAGTGAGCCTGTCTGCATGACCTGCCTGGCCCGACAGTGAATGCCTTCCTCTTAACACTTCAGGTTGGCCAGCCCTTTCTGGATGTCCTGGCTAACAATGGGTAGGTGGAAAGGCCTGACAGAAAGCTCTGTTTGCTCTGCTTTCTTACACTGAGTGTTGCTTTCCTCCCTCACCACAGCTCCATGTTGGGCATAGTTCTGCGCCCAGGGGTAGCGTCGGTGCCCATCGCCTGCCATGGCCTGGTGGGGTCTTGCTGTAAGGGGCCCCTTGGATTTGAAGCAGAAAATTCTTCCAGACGGGGCCGGTACCAGTACAGATGAATTCAGACATATCTGCTGGGCGTACCGTGAGGTTTTGCTTTGAGCTGAGCTTTTCGGCGCCGCCTGCTATAACCGCTAGCTCAGACAAAGAAGCCAGCCGCTGCAGGGCCGCAGGGCTCTGCCCGCCCCCGCCGCGCATCCGGAACCGGCTACACCCGCCTCTGCCTGCGAGCAGCTGTTCGGGCAGAGGCCTCTCCCTCTCGGACCGCCTTCTGCCCGGGCCCGCCCCCAGCCGTGCCGCCAGCGGCTGGTGGAGCTGTGGCAGCGAGCGCGCCGCCATGCGATTTCGGGCAAAGATTGTGGATCTCGCCTGCCTCAACAGCTTCAGCCGTGAGTATGGCGGGTCAGGCTGAAGGGCGGCGGTGCCTCGCTGAGCGGCTGGGGTCGGCTTCCCTGGGCAAACGGGGGAGGAAGGGAGGTGAGGCCCGGGCCGCGGACTCAGGGGCCTTTCCTGGGAGGAGACGGCATGAGGCGCTTTCCTCTGCCCCGAGGTGTTTCGGAGTTTCCCTAGCAGCACGAGCTGCGTTTTTGGAGACTGAAGGTTTCTCCCTTGTCCCGCAGGGACCGGGGTGTGTGTGGGGCGGTCACCTCTATAACATCCCCCTCCCTCCCTCCGGCAGGTGTAATTAACACAATCGCCAAGTTAGCCAAGACCTGCACCCTGCGCCTTACTGTCTGCAAGTTGTACTTCATCCTCTCCGATAAAGTAGCAAATGGAGGCGCCAGTATGTGGTGTGAGCTGTGCCAGGTGAGCCCAGAGGAGTTCAGAAACCGCATGGTGTTGAAAACCAGAGCATGTAGTTGGGTTTGGTGTATTTCTTGCAGCCCTCACCCGGGTGTGCCATATCTCTTAAGGCCTGTCTGGTCACACAGGTGTTTCAGGTTAGATGTCCTCTTTACCTTAATTGTCACTGCAAGTGTAAAGCTTTGGGGTGTGTTGGCCCACATGGGCCTGCCCAAAACTGGAAACAGGAAAGCATAACTCACTGTTTTGTAGACTGATAAGTGTTAGAGGAGAAAATAAATAAGTTTAGAGCCTGAAGCAATGAGCCTTTATGCTTATGCAGCCTGGTTTGATTCCACCAGATGATGCCAGTCTGAGGAGAGTTTCCTGTTGTAACACATGCAGTTCTAGGCTTAAGGTCTGATGGATAAAACTTACCCTCTCATTTGCTTTATTTTATTTCCCAACTTTTAAAAATTTTAGGGCAATTTCTTCGACGAATTTCAGATGGAAGGAGTAGCTGCAGAGCACAATGAAATCTATTTAGAGTTGGTGCCTGAGAACCTGTCGAGAGCATTAAAAACTGCCCACAGTGCTAAGGCAGTGAAGATCAAGTTGACTAATAAACACTGTCCCTGTCTCAGAGTTGCTGTTGAGTTAGTAAGTGCAACCATGCTTTTCTGTTCATTATTAAGAAAAAGTTCTTTAAAATTAAGTGCTTTTCCTAAGATCAAATGATAGTGTAATTCTAGAAAATTCTAGAAAACTGAAGAAAAATTGTGCCATTTTCTATTTCAATAGCCTTACCATTATGATTGGTAGCACACAGAACCAGCTGTATTTTCCAAAAGGCAAGGAGGAGGAAGAATGAAAGCTGTGTGATTGAAACAACTTTTTCTATTTTTTTTCATTACTTCATTCTCTATATCTTCTGTGGATTATTGCCTTTTTATTGAAGCCATTAAGTTTCAGTGTAGTGTTTTGCATTTCATTATCCTGACATTGCATTTCAAACTGCTGTCTTCTGATTTTTTTGTTGTTGTTGGTAACACTACTGATTCACCTCTTCAGGTCTAAGGATATCTTTTGTATGTGTATGTATATATACACACATATATATACGTGTGTATGTATACTAATGAATGATACCTCAGAAACTCTTCCTCATTCAAAAGGGAAGTCCACTTAAGAGCATATTGAGAGGAACCTAGGGAAAACTGGAACTGACATCTGAGACACGTAGTTACTGCCCACAGTGGGTCTGAAAGCTTTAAATTTGGAATTTAAGTCCTGTTTTTAACTGCAAGAGCATCCTTTCTTTTCTTCAAGCCATCCTTATCAAGCAGCAGTAGGATTGTGACACATGATATTCCTGTGGGGGTTATTCCCAGAAGAATATGGAATGACTTCAGAGAGCCCACTGTGCCAGACTTTGATGTAAGCCTCTGCTTTTATATTCCCTATGGAAAGGGGAGGTTGCTATTGGAATGCTACTGCTACAGAGTATACTGGTGGGATTTGGAAAGGAGTTGAAAAGCGGGAAGATTGGAGGCTACAGATTTGAAGAGGGATGGAAGATGGCTTCTGTCTTGACGAGAGAGTCTAGAACCTGTGAAAACAGAGCCTATAGTTACCAGTTGTTTGGGATATTCAGAGTGGAGGAAGGGAGGAGTAAAGGACTTGCATGTCTTTAGAGTGGAGCATCCCTAAACCACACAGGTTTAGGTTGTTTCGGCTGTTTCCATGCCGAATAATCTGTTCTTTCTGAAATTCATGACCTACTTGGCAGAGTTAGAGATACATGTGTTTCCTCCTTTTAGATATCATTTCTATATCTTTTGTGACTTTTAGCAGAGTTGCAAGGAAAGGTCTTTGTGCAAATGTGCTCCTGTTGGAGATTGTGGATGTCTGTTACCTCTATAGCTAAGTGTAAATTTTGAAGACATACAACTGAGTAGAAACTTGAAGAATTTTGTTCTGTTATTTCAGATTACACTGCTGCAGTTGCAGAAATAAATGCAGAATCATGGGAATCTTTTTCTTCCCTTTTTGGCTATAGTTATTAACTACTTACGTTACACAGGTGTATGTCCGTGTGAGCATCTGACCTGCAAAAACCTGTCTCCATTTTATTTTGAACACAGATGTGGAATATTATGTCTGAAGCAATTGCTAGAGTGCAATTGCCTCTTGGTATAATGGGAAAGAGTTCCTCTATTCTGAGACATTTGCTGATTTCAGATAAATACTGTGTATCCTGCAAGCCATAGGTAACTCAGTCCAAACTAAGATAGAATTGAAAGGAGAAATGAATGTGTCACATCCCAGACACACGTGAAAAACCTGTGCAAATGAAGTTCTTATATCTTTCTAGGTCAGTATTTACCTACCAGTGCTGAAAACAATGAAGAGCGTTGTGGAAAGAATGAAGAATCTCAGCAATTTCATTGTAAGTTAAGTCACTTCAAGTATGTATGCTACAGACCTTACTTCATCAGGGACATAACATTTCACTGTTGCCTAAACTGGTGACAACACATTATATCTTATTTTGGGATGAGACAGACATTAAAATCAAGGCACCTGAAGACAGTGTAAAGTTGAAGAGCATGATGGGATTTATTTTATGATTTGCACTGAAGAGCTTCACAGGAAGTCATACTCTTTGTACTGAATTATTGAAAGAACATGGCACAGTGTGTTGCTACAAGCCACTTTTTGTAGCTGATAAGAATTTACAGTCCTTCAGGAAGTAGGTAGAGACTTTCCAGGTGACTTCATTAAAGAAATGTCTATTATATGAGTCTTGGGTTAGATGTCTGTGTGAATGAACTTTAGGTAAACTTGAGGTAGGATTTAAAGGAAATTCTTCTAATAGCTCCTGGATGACAGACTGTGCTTTAGGTTCTGACATGGTGGGTTTCCGGTCTAATCTGGATTTCTGGAGTCCTGGAATGCCTTCCATTGAAAGAACCTCTCTGCAGTTGGACAAAAAAAGGGCTTTGGGTTTTTTATTTAGTTATTTTTGCTCACAGTCACCAGAATTGACTAACATGAAAGTTTGTAAGTGTAGAGCTTTGAAATAGTTTGGTTTTGGTGCCGTTTATACCAGTTTTGATAAATAGGACATTTTCTGTTAACTGACAGTCCTGAAATTGGGACAGTCTCAGTTTTCCAGACTTGGAAGAGTTGAGAGATTACCCTGGGTTTCTGGCAGTTTTGCAAGTGGCAGTCATTCTGAAAATACACTTCAAACTCTTTTCCTTTTTCAGTCTTTTGGGGGGTTTAATTTTTGCTTTCTTCCTCCATGTCCTTAATGGAAATGCCTACACAAAATTAAGCACAGTGCTTTTTTTCCAGAGCTCAGGATCTTTTCTCATGTTGGTTAGCTGTATGATGGGATTGAATTTTGGTGTTCAGCAGCACTCAGAAGAGGTAGTGTATCAACAATGGGCATACCCACTTTACTAAGTGCGTTGCCTTCATGTTATTAATGAACAAAAACATCAGTTATCACAATTAATTATTTTTGCTAGATGCATCCTGGTAATAAAACTGGTCAAGATCAGTGCTGCAAAATAGGCTTAGAAGCAATTTCAGATAGTACTTGGCCCATTGTATGGGAGCTTGGCATCTCCGTTCTATAGGAGATTCTGGTTGTGATGCATCTTTTTAAAAATTATTCAGAATTCTAATCACAGAAATGAAGTGCTTGGTTATGGTTTAGGAATCCTCTGATCTGCTTGGGATTTTTGTAAGGTCATATATAGTCTCCTTCTGGTTAGACACTTGGTCAGGATGGAATTTGAAAGCTTTCAGCACTCTCAGAGTCCTTCTTAGAGTTACTGGTCTGATGTAGTTGGTTGTCTGGTTTTAAGTTTTGTAAAGCAGCTCTGTAACTGTATGTCAACTCTTGGTGCATTCCATATTCTGTGTGTGTCATATGGACTATGAGTTGCCTTTCCATTTGTTGAGAAGCTGAATGGAAATGCAGGAATCCTTGCATTTCTTTAGTTTCAGCCTCTCATTTCTAAAGCCTTTTTCTCAGCACATGAATTTCCCAAAGCGAATACTTGTTTGTGAGAGACAGCACGGATAACAAGTCTTGGAAAGAGCATCTTTAGAGGAAAAATCACCACAGATGCAGTTTCCCAAAGTCAACACAAAAAACATTTACAGCTCAAACTCAGGCATCACGAATTTATTGTACAGGACCTTTCACTGTATAAACCCCTTTCACTCAGCATCCACATTGCTTCCCCAGCGCAGCACCATGTTTGTTCTCCCCACAGAGCCAGCCCAGGCCCCTATCCTAACCTGTCTTGCAGCCCTCATCTGTCTCTCCCCGTTCCCTGGGTTCCTATTGGGTGTTAATCTCCTGTCTCCTCCTGTTGGCTAGCCAAGTGGACAAGCCCCTCCCTTCCCCCCAGCAGCCTTATAAGCTGTGGGAAGTTTATGAATAAAGTCTCTGCTACTGGACTCACAGATCTCCCCACCGGGGCTTGTGTCACCCCGGCTCTGTCCCTGAGAGACAGACAGCAGAGAGCCTGCCTCCTTCAAACCCTGTCACTTGTTCTAAAAGTACTGGTGTGCAATTATATTTATTTCTTTTCATGATTTCTGAGAGTTTGGTCTAGGATAATTCATACAGGAGTGATGAGAAGTGCACTTTGTAGCTGAACATTTGAATGTTCAAACCATGTTAAGAAAGTATGGTTGACCTGAAGTGCTTCTGGAAGCTTGTATTTGAACAAAACTGAACTGTATTCTTCTGTAATTCTGCAGTGTAAAAGTGGGTTGCCTAAAATTGAGATTGATTGTATTGCAGGTGATTGAAGCAAACTTGAGTGGAGAAATGAACTTGAAAATAGAAACTGACTTAGTATCTGTAACAACACATTTTAAAGACCTGGGAAATCCTCCCTGGGGTAAGTTTCTCTGTTTGCTACCTCTTGTGTCTGTCTGATCTCGTTACTTAAGTGTGTTGATTATAACTACCTACTTTTTATTCTTTAGAAAATAGCATCATGTACTTTAAAGTCTTCAAATGAAATCTTAAAAGAAAACGTGGCCAATGGCTGTTTTGTGTTTAAAGGCGTGGGGAATCTCCTCCAGTATTGTTGACAGCTTTGTAGGAAAACTATGCTTTCTTTTCCTTGCACTGCTTCTTTCTGAAAAACAAGCCATTTTAGTTCCACTGCTTCAGCAGTTTTTAGTTGTGTCCCTGTATGTGTTGAAACTCCTTATCTAAGTCTTGTGTTCTTATGCTTTTTAGCATCAGAGGATGAGTGTCAAAGTTCTGCTCAAGGCAGAGATCTGGAAAGTATGGCTGTGGCACGCATAGACATCAGGAAGCTGCAGCAGCTGCTTGCTGGACAGCAGGTCAATCCCACGAAAGCATTGTGCAGTAAGTTCAGCAGCTCTGTTTGCAAACTCCAAGGAGGGATGTTTGCTCTACTTGTAGTCTTGGCAGAACAGCATATCCTTTGTTTTGTCTGTTTGAAACTTGATTTTTTTTATTGTACCTGAGGACTTAATATTTATATTTTTAGGCAGTAAGCTTCAGACTTTAAGCTCTTGGGGAAGAAAAAAAATAAAATAAGGCCCTTTTTAATCAGACTGACTAAGATGGGTGTCTTGTCTTTGTTCTGAAGTTGATATTTTTATTATTATTTTGAGGTATTATTTTTTGAAAGTATTAAAATCCTTAATTTCTAGTGGAGAAACTGGAATTTACTGTCATGGGTTGGTTTTTTTTTTCCCCTTTGGATGCCTTCTTACATTGATTCTAATACCAAAATGCTTTTTATACAGCCAGTGTTTCTAGCCATAGAATGTACTTTCTAGCAGAAGCCTATGCCGGGGTTTATATTCTACTTTAATAACTCTGTATGCTTTTCCTGAGAACATCTTCGTATTATGGTTTAGTTCAGATGCTAAGAATTTCCCAAGGAAGATACAAATAATAAGTATAGCATTATAAACCTATACCTATTACATATTTGCTTTTTGGTATCAACTTTCAGACTATTAATGCTTCCTAAATTCTCAAGGACCTGAATATGTGTAGTCATCCTTCTGTCGGCAATGGTAGAAGCACTGTATTCTTATGATGAAAATGTAAGTATTTTTCCTTCTTTAAGATGGATTTGTTTTTTAATTTCTTTCTCTTTTACAGATATTGTAAGTAACAGAATTGTCCACTTCGTCTTGCTGCATGAGGATGTTTCACTTCAGTATTTTATTCCAGCGCTTGCCTGAATGGTTTCGTATCTTGAGCATTTTCTAACCTGAGGCCTTTCCCATGAAGTCTGAAATATTTCCTGAGTTGCTGGAGTATTTTCACATGATGGCTGCACATAGAAGCAGCCATCAGATGGACATTATTTCAATATCCATGAAATTATTCAAAATACCTCCTCATTCAGAAAGCCGTTTTTGTGAAGAGTTACATGCTACAAAAGATGTACCTCTGGGAAGCTGGCATATTGCAGTCTTAGAGGAAGCAAAAGAAATTTGAATGTGCTTTTGGGATGCTTTGAGCTATGAGGATGGTAATGAAGTATTTTGGTTTTGTCAAAAAATATAAAGGTAGAATTCATGTCTGGAGCTGCTGCTGTGTGTATTCAGTATTGGGCAATGCAGTTCCAAGTTAAGAGGTCTCTAAGCAAGCTATCATACTTCCATGGAGCAGGAAAGTCTTCTGGAGGGTTGCAGATTGGTATTTGCCTAAACAGGTACACACAGCCCTCCTGAAGTGGTACGAAATCGAATTCTGTTCCAGTAGTGAAGTTTGTGAACTTGATGCTGTTAAATGTTGTGCAGCAGAAATCTGACTGCCAGCAAGTAACAAGATGTAACAGATGGTAAGGAGCACCAACAGTTCAGCAGCATCTCTTTTTACTTGGTTTTATCTTTTGATGTGACTTGCTCCAACATAACTCAGTAGCTCTGTGCTTGCTTGGTTTAGCTCTTGGCCTGAGAGGATGAGCTAAACACTCTGGATTAGTTTGCTGATGTGGACAGTGAAAATCTCTGTGTACAGAATGAAGGTCATATGAGGACATGCATGAACACAGCAATTGGTTTGAAATAAAGGGGAAGTTATCTGTGAATCATATTTTTTCCCCTTTTCAGATGGAAAGCATTGTACAACCTGTGTCATCATGGTGTCAGACTTGGTGAGATTGCATCTAGGCTCTCATGCCAAGCATGACCTTCTTCTACTTCCTGGTTATCTTCTGAGGTCTTTTCCTCCTTATTCCATGTGTGATTTGTTTGTTATCCGGACATATTCCATATAGCTTTTAGTTGTTTTAGAAACAATAAGTTTTTGCTGCCAAATGCAACTGGGAGTTTCTTCTAGGAAGAAGATCTTCTGTCATGGTCAGAAGTGATGCGTTTTTGGTTGGGTCTTTTTTTCATTTCAAAAGGTCATTGAGGGTAAGGGAGCAATGAATCTTTTGTTCTTGCAGATGCAAAGGGTCAAGAGAAGGCTGAAGGAGAGGCAGTAGTCTGGAGATCTTATGCTTCTTTGCCTTCTTTCACTATTACCATTAGACTAACCAGGAAGCATCTTCTAAATCCTGTTAGTTTTCATGGGCAGCTTCAATTACACCAAAAGTCTGTGTGAGATGAAAATAGGTGTCGTCTAGCTTACAGGAATTGCAGGGTAAAAGGTTTGTGGTAAATATTCCTGGGTTTTCTCCTGGGGAGAAGGAAAAAATTATCAGAATGCAATACAGAATATGCACTATGAAGGTAGGCTTTGAAATGTTTGGATTTTCTGTTTGAAAAATGTATGTATAATTTAACCTGATGGAAATTACTTTTTCTGTTACAGTATAAAAACTAGTAATAATGACCTTTGTGCAGCTTCTGCGATTCATAGTTTTAAAAGAGATCAGAAGTTATAATTGCAAGAAAATGGTTGGGTTTTTTTTTTTAATAAGTAAATAAATAAAAATAAGAGTAATGCTGGTACATGTCAAGAGCATGCAGTGACATGTCCGTTTCATATTCTGGAGGGGAGGAGGCTAGACAGAGCAACAGAGATGTGTTTTCTCCAGCCCCAGTACTTTCTTACCCTTCTCATCTAAATACAGCACATGGATACAGCTCAGTCCTGCCATCCAGTTGCTCATCCTGATAAGAGGCAAAAATACTACTTACTCAGGTTTAAACCTGCTGTCAACTGTGAATCCAGTTGTCAGAGCCCTTGAGGACAGTATTGGGTCTTAGTGGCCCTAAGCAGTCTTACCAGGGAGATTGCCCCCCATCCATGGGCCCTCAGCTGGTGTTTCATCTCAGACTGTGTTGTCCTGTACTCCCCTAAACTATGCCTAGGCCCAGCCCTATTCCTGAAGGGACGTTTGGATTTCCTGGATTGGCTTCAGATGGGAGCTGTTGCTCTCACCACTTGGTTCTGCCTGCCTGGTTTAGGTTCTATGAGCCTGTACCCCAGTTTTAGGAGTGCTGCCTAGCCTGCATTGTGGTCCTCCTCTGCTTCTGGCTTCCTCAGTCCTGGGACAGCCTCACTTCCTGCTCCCTAACACCAATAATGAGAAGAACTATTTGTCATTATCGCCTCTGATTGTTTCCATATGGTGAACCAATTGTTTTCTGCCAGAAAATTACTGTTGTGGCTTAAGCCACCAAGACAAAAAGGTTAGAAGCTGCTGATGGGACTAGAAAATAACTGTAAGACAGTTCACCTTCTCTTCAACACTTTGTTCTCTGAACACACATTTCTATTATGGGATATTATCTGATTACCACCTTCAGCAGCTCTGGCTCAGGACTTCTGCACAGCTACTGGAGCCCAGTCTCAGGTAATCGGAGTACCAGGGATGTGTTTACCCTGGGTTGCGTAATGTAGTTGCCGCTTTCTCACTTGCAGGTTCAGTCGGAAGTGACGCTGAGCTTGTGTCTGAGACACGCAGACATGCACATGGGACTGACGTGGCTACTTACAGGCTGCCACAGACAAGCCATGCCTTCAGCTGCCTCTACCTACAGGACCCATGTAAAACAAGCCCAGGCAGCCACATCCCCTTCCTCCTCTTTGTCTGGCAAAGGCAGAAGGGCAGTAATGCAGGTACACACAGAGTGCTCTCCAGGTTCACAATATACGTGTTCATAGATTCCTTGAGTACTGGCACTGTGTGCTTAGCATCCCTGCACATCCTGGCTCTCTTACCCACTCTATGGGTCCCTTATTCACTGTCTTGTCCAGGTTGGTACTTACTAGCAATGCTCACACACTTGTCCCACAGGCATCCCATACTCTGAATATAATCAGAGACCCTTCACCAGTGTGATTCTAGCAGCTGGCAGCAATCTCACTCGTGCTGATCCCATCTGTAGCTGACACCTAATCCTTGCAGCGTGTAGACACACAGGAAGGAGAGTGAGGTAGGCTATGCAGAGATAGGGAAGAAAGGAGTTAATGAGAAAATAGAATGGATTTGCAGTGATGTGCGTATTGACTGACTGCATTTATAGGGCTTTCTGCCTACTTCCCCTTTGTTCCTCTCAGCTCTCCCTGCACATTGTCTGCACATTGCCTCATCACCTATTCCCTCCAACATGCTGGCCCCTGAGGTTTGCATCTTTATAATTTGCAATGCTCCATTTTGTCTGTGTTGTGAGTTGACCTTGATAAGCAGCTACTACTCCATCACTCATAACTGGTGGGATGGGGGAGAGAATCAGAAGGCTAAAAGTGAAAAAACTCTTGGATTGAGATAAAGCAGAAGCTGTATGTGCAAAAAAAGCAAAGTATAGAATTCATTCACTATTTCTCATGAGCAGACAGGTGTTTAACCATTCCTGGGAAAGCAGGGCTCCATCATGTGTAACGCTTACTTGGGAAGACAGACTGTATAACTCCAAATTCCCATCTACTTTCTTCTGCTTTTTCTTCAGGTGAACCCAATGCTGTGTGATATGGGAATATCCCTTTGGTCTGTTGGGGTTAGCTGTCTCAGCTGTGTCCTCTACTAACTTCTTGTGCACCCCCAGCCTATTTGCTGGTGGGGCAGTGTGAGAGTAATGCCTTGACACTGTGTAAGTGCTGCTCAGCAATAACAAAAACATCCCTGTGTTATCAACAGTGTTCTGGTCACAAATCCAGAACATAGCACCATAAATGCTACTGTGAAGAAGACTAATTGTGTCTTGGAACAAAACCAATGTAGCCTGCCATTTTTTGGTAGCGCAACAATTAGTGTGAACAACCAGATGGTTTTGGCTCTGTTTTTTTCTGGTTACTGTCTTTGTTAATGGTGATTAATCAGGGTTTATATTTGTGTGTTTGTCTCCTTCCTTTTTATCATCCAATATAGGATGTGATCAAATAACCTTGGAATAAACATGGTGACACTCCCACATACTCTGCCTCTTATAATATTTCCATCAATTTTGTGTCCCTTGATGTTCTTTTTTATGGTTTTCTCCTTTTATCCTTTTTTTTTGCATGGTGTGGAAATTTACTTATAATACTTATTTTCCTTGCTTTCTGGTTATGTACTACATTACTGATCCTTATTTTTCTGCTGCTTTTGACAAAGCCCTTGCATACAGTCTGATTTTTTTTAATGCCTCAGCAATTCAAAAAGAGTGAAATTATGATTAAAAAGAGAAAACAATAGAGGGTACTCAAGAGCTGTGCAAAAATGTATTACTTTGCATTCCTAAGAAAAACAATGCTGGGAACAAGTAATGGACCTCAGTTAACACTTGTGACAGGGTGAGGGTTTTTTATAATCTTTCTTAAATGATGGTTCTCAAATGGGCACCAGGCAGTGAGTAAATGTAAGACTGAAATTGTTTTAACTTTGTAAGCTATGGAAAAAATATTGTATCTAGAGCAAGCATCATAAATGACCCAGCTCAAATAATTTAGATACAGACTGTGGTATGCTGAACTCAGCTGAGATTAGGTGGCTAAATAGCTTATGTGATCTGGACTTCAGTGTCTCTGTGTTTCAGTGCTTCATATGTAAAACAATAATCTTCCTACTATACAGCTGGGTGCAAATAAATGCATGAAGAATTTCTAGTGCATTTGGCTTCTCTGATAGAAACTTAAATCTAAATTCTAGCTTTTGTAGGTATTAATGTGGGGTATTTCATAGGTGTTTATGTCAGGGAAACAAACTTTTTTAGCCTATGTGGGCTGGTACCATAAATATTTGGCTCTCCTTTCCTTAGAATGGAAGGATGTATGTGTTCAATTCCTAGTTATTTCATAATTAATCTCTCACTTTGTGATGTACTATTGATGATAATCTTAAGCACAATTTATTGCAGTTCACTACAGAAATATTGGACTTCCCCATTTTTCATACCAGGTTGTTGGATTTTCCTTATACTTAACAGATTGAAAAACTGTATTTTATGAACTTGTTTGGTTTACTGTCGTGCCATTTTAACTATGGAAGATGTCAAATTGGAGCTGATTGCCTTCTACAATGCCTGGCTGGATAGATGAGGGGAGAGCAGCGGATGTTGTCTACCTGGACTTCAGCAAGGCTTTTGACACTGTCGCCCATGATATCCTGATAGGCAAGCTCAGGAAGTGCAGGCTGGATGGTCAGGTGGGTTGAGAGCAGGTTGCATGGCAGGTCTCAGAGGGTTGCGATCAGTGGCACAGGGTCCAGTTGGAGTCCTGTCACTAGTGGTGTCCTCCAGGGGGAAGTACTGGATCCAGGAGCAGCCAATACCCCAGAGTTCTGTGCTGCCATTTTCTCAACAGGTTGAAGAGGTGGGCAGAGAGAACCATCTGAAATTCATCAAAGGCAAGTGCAGGGTCCTGCACTGTGTAGGAATAGCCCCAGGCACCAGGACAGACAGGGGGCCTTCCTGCTGGAAAGCAACTCTGCAGGGAAGGACCTGAGGGTCCTGGTGGACAACAGGCTGTCTATGAGGCAGTGGTATGTCCTTGTGGCACAAGGCCAATGGTATCCTGGGGTGCATTAGGAAGACAGTAGCCAGCAGGTCATGAGAGGTGATCCTACTCCTCTACTCAGCCCTGGTGAGGCTGCATCCAAAGTGCTGTATCTATTTCTAGGCTCCTCAATAGAAGAGACATGGAGCTCCTGGACCAAGTTCAGTGAAAGGCAACAAATATGATGAAGGGAGTGGAGCACCTCATTTATGAGGAAAGGCTGAGGGAGCTGGGACTGTTTAGCCTGGAGGAGAGAAGAGTGAGAGGGAACCTTATCAACTGTCTTTAAGTATCTGAAAGGGAAGGTAGCAAGAGGCAGGAGTCAGGCTCTTCTCAGTGGTGATGAGCAGTGGGATTAGAGGCAATAGGTAGAAACTCGAACTGAGGAAGTTCCACCTGAACACGTGGTAGAACTTCTTTACTGTGCAGGAAGCTGAGCACTGGAACAGGCTGTCCGGAGAGGTTATGCAGTTTCTTTCCGTGGGGATATGCAAGAGCCATTTGGACACATTCCTGATTAACATGCTCTAGGGGATCCTACTTGAGCAGAGAAACTGGATTAGATGCCCCACTGTGGTCCATTTCAACCTTACCCATTCTGTGATTCTGTGATCCTGCGAAGCTTGTCTCCCCCAGCAGTCATTCAAATTTGTTGAGTCAAGAGATTCAAGAGGGCCTTTTGGACAGGAGGGATGCATTCAGTAGTGTTAAAATTAAGAGATGTGGAGCATGTGCAACATGCTCTTTGTTTCATTCTAGTCTGAAAATGCTTCTTTTTCTGCAACATATTTGGGGAAAATGTTTAAGGAAGTAGAGATAAGGAAGAATTAGGGTTCATTAAATCTCCACTATGGAGCCTTCCAGCCATGATGACTCCAAGTTCTCCTAGAAATAATTTTCAGAATTTTGTCTTTTTTGCCTGCTTCATATAATGCATCTGAGCTCCAAACCTCTGGGCAGGGATGGCAGCATTGTCCAAAAATTTGGCTACAGCTTCAGTGCACAAGTCAGCCAAACTATAGGAAGACAAAGTGTCCTGCATCTGCAACTAATTCTGTTAAAGGCGACTTTTGTATTGTTTTTAGTTACTCAGAGAATAATAGTCTTTACAGTGATGCTTTTCTGTCTGCCTTATAGTCTCTCTGGGAAAGAGGCAAGGGGGTTTGAATGTACTCTATATAGTTTTATTTCATTATTAAGGTATAGAAGGATCATTGCTATAATGCCAAAGAAAAAATCTCATAGATGTGGAAAGAAATCTGTTCTGCAGGTGTCTTTCTCCAGCTTTAGGCCAACATGTCGATAATTTAAGATCCATGCCCCACCCCAAAAAATCCAACTAACCAACCAACCAAAATCCTTCAGTTTCTGTACATGTGGAAAGTTTTGCATGCTTTGTTTGTGCTATACTATTGCAATCCTGTCAGCAAAATGATTATTCACAATTTTTCTCACTGTTAAATTAGGTCAGAGTTCTTTGTGATTCAGTGAGTTAGAATGAGGGTGTGAATTTCATCTTCCTATTGCTGGTATTTGTTACATGTGTTAAACAGAAATGACAAGAATCCTTTCATGGAAAGTTTATAGGGATTGGACTTTGGCAGTGTTCCTGAATTTTGAATTCAGTAAATCTTTTCTTAGAAAAGGGAAGGAAGTAGTTGTCAGAACATGGAAGAAAACTAATTTGCTGTTATAAAAACTGATTTATGCTAGCAAGACCAAGCCACCAGAGGAAATCTTTAAAACTTAAATCATTTATACCATCTAAATTACAACCCCCCCTCTCCAGAAGGTAATTTAAATGCTGGTAGTAATTTGATGATGCTCTATTGCATTCATTGCTGGTCAGTTGACTTGCATCTGTGGATGGGTTTGACTTCTGATGAACTTACCCTGGGAGGAACTCTGTTTTTTTGTTAAGTTTTGTTTTTTTTCCACTGTATGCAGTAGCAACAGAGCTAATAGGAAGGAAAAAAATCTCAGGGAAAAACAAAGAAACCAGATTTCCCTCACTTTCACATTCTTGTATGTCCTTTCATGTAGCACTTCAAGTCTCCTACCTGATTTCAGAAAGCTAAAATGTCTGTCAGAGAACATGACATAATTTATAATGTCAGTATTTGCCATGTCATTTCTTTCACAACTAATTGTCATGGTTTTAGAGACAAGATATATTTCCACTTGTAGTCTTAATTAGAATCATAGAACCATATTATTGTGAAGTTTGGCAGGAGTCCAACCATTAACCTACTGCCATGTTCACCACTAAACCATATCCCTAAGTGCCACATTCACACACCTTTTGAACATTTCTAGGGATTATGATCTCACCACTTCCCTGGGCAGCCTATTCCAATAACCGACCACCCTTTCAGTGAAGAAATTTTTGCTAATATCCAATCTAAACCTCCCCTGGTACAACTTGAGGCCATTTCCTCTCATTCTGTCACTTGTTACCTGAGAGAAGAAGCTGACCCCCACCTGGCTACAACCTCCTTTAAGGCAGCTGTAGCGAATGACAAGGTTCCCCTGAGCCTCCTTTTCTCCAGGCTGAACACCCCCAGCTCCCTCTGCCACTCCTCCTAACACCTGTGCTTCAGTTTAGTGTGCCCTTCTCTGGACACACCCCAGCACCTCAATGGCCTTCTTGAACTGCAGGGCCTGGAACTGGATACAGGATTTGAGGTGCGGCCTCACCAGGGCTGAGTGCCAGGGAAATGATCACTGCCCTGGTCCTGCTGGCCACACTATTGCTGATACAAGCCAGGATGCCACTGGCATTCCTGACGACCTGGGCACACTGCTGGCTCATGTTCAGTCAGTTTTTGACCAACACTCCCCGGTCCTTTTCCACCAAGCACCTTTCCAGCCTCTCTACCCCAGCTCTGCAAAGGGCTGTTGTGCCCCCAGTGCAGGACCTGGCACTTCACCTTGTTGACCCTCATGCAATGAAATTTCCTGCATAAAAGTGTGTGCTTTCATTTAGTTAAAGATAATCCAGCTTTCTAACAAAGAGACCCTCTCAGTGTAGGCAAAATTTTCTTCCTGAATTCTTAAAGTGTATGTTTGGTCCCACAGTCTGTTGGATTCTCTCATGCCTGAGCCTTAATTATCTGCCCATTATTTTCCCATGACTCGGCTTCTTTTATCAACTGGAGTGGTTCTAACATTTTTCAAACTATATTATTGTTCAGAGCCTCTTTCTAGGATGAGGGGTGTGTCTGCATTTGTGTATCACAAAAAAACCTTTGGGTCTGACTGAAGAGCCCTGAAAAGCTGTTCTGGAGTGATCTGGCATACAGTCTTGGCAGTAAAACTTTTCACAGGGCTGGATATGCCTAGATGCCAGGTCAGTGAGATCCCTTCTGCACTTTTCAGGTGAATATGTTACCTTTTTTCTCCCTATCTTTACAACAAGGCTTAACACCTCCCTAGAGAGCTGGAGATCTGTCACAGTTTAAATTAGTAATTTCTTGTCAGACAAAAACACCTATTTTTAGCTTTGATCGTAAAAACTCTTATGTCACATTTACCTGACAGAAATAGAAAAATAGGAACCAATTATGTGTGTTCTTAAATTCAAAGGCATTTGAATGTCTTCAAATATATTAAATAAGTTTCTGTCATTTTCACCCCAGCGTGTGCCCAGGAAAATATTTTTGAAGAAGGTATTTTGAAGGTATTTTGAAGAATTTCTCCAAGCTTCTTCTTTGCCTTTTCTCACAAGAAAGTATTCCCTCAAATAAAGTTTGGTTTTGAAAGGAGAATGTCTTCAGCATGAAAAGGATATGTTCTCTTGCAAAAATAACAGAAAACCCTCACTAATGCTGTAGAATACCATATTCCTTCTCTAAATGGCATTTCCTTAAGAGTATTCACAAACTGGCTTAAAACATATATCATGCTTTATCCTTAATTCACACTATGAAAGGATTGGTGCAGATATGAGGATACTGTCATACATAATCATGACTGTGATTCCCCTCCCTGCTCCAGAAGAATGTCTGTGATAACTTTATGATGAACAAGCAATCGGCAAATTTTACAAAAGCTTCTGTTTTTCCTTAAAATAATCAGATAATATTTGGATTTCAGAGGCAAGATCAAACTCTGCATTAGACTGCATGAGACGGGAAGCCAGGCACTACTCTGAAAATACAGGTGTTGCTGAAAGAGTGAGGTATGTCACCCTAATAAAAATAATAAGAATGCTGGTCTCCAGGTGTTAATTTTGATCCATCATAATTCAGATTAAGATAATTATTTCTATGTCAGGGTATTTCTAGTGACATGTTCACCTTGCCATCAAGGCCAGACCTGGAGTTTTCATGCAAGTCACTTAGTAAAAACCAGATGAGGTGATGACATGCAAATGAACAGGTTTGTCAGAGCTCCCCTTTATAATATGATCTAGGTATCATTTTATCTTATGTAACTACTTAACTAACTCTGTGGTGAAGTTGTCAGTTCAACTAAATGGGCTACCATAAGTACACCAACCTTTTGTCTGCAGTTTGATTCCTCAGCTTACCGTGGATGGCGATGAAATCGTATCCCAAATTGACTGAATGACTGTAAATAACTTTCAGTAGTAAAGTGTTATAGATTAGAGCCATAGTGTTATGGATTGTATAGGGAACAGAAGTTTAAATTCTTTAGTGTTAAAGAGAGCTGAATGTCCAGGAGCTAAGTTAATTTTTGAAGTTTATTATTTACTTTCTGCTTCCCCTGTTCCATTGATTTTGCAGTTCTTGTCAAGAGAACCAATATGAACTTGTTTAATGAAATTAAGTATACTTTTAAAAAAGCATCAATCTAAATGGCTTGGCAGAAATCAATGAATAAAGTAACACTGACGCCAAAAGGCCTTCATCATTTAATTTGTATTCTTAAATAAAGTTATACAGATTACAACTGTAGAAGTTTTACAGATTTTATTTTGGTTGGTGGCCAGCCTGTGCTTGTTTTTATTACAGACCTTTTATGTTATTCTGCCTAAATCTGGATTTTCAGCCTTTTCTGGACCAAACAATTAGTTCAAAATTCTTGTGTAAGTGAAACTAAAATATTGATATTTTAAGTTTTAAAGTATTGAAACAAAAAAAGGTACTGAACTATATGCTGCTGCAATAGGAAGTTGTTAAATACAATCAGTTAGCCTTAGAAACTTGATTATAAAAGATAATCCCATGAACAGAGGCATGTTTTATGAGTAGGAATTATTTTGTGTGGAAGTATGTTTCAGTTGCACCTATTAAGATTTACAGAATTAGCCTACAGGTTTGTTATGTTAAGATTTGTGTGAAAAAACTTAGATATAGTCAATGACTTAATGAAAAAGATAATGAAACAAAAATCATGAAAATGAGATGCTAACTAGAAGACTAGGTGCCAGGACAGCTCAATCATCTCTCATCTTTCTTTTGGGATAAACTACTTCAGAGAATCATAGAATGGCCTGGGTTGGAAGGGACCTTAAAGATCATCTAGTTTCAACTCCTCTGCCATGGATGGGGACACCTCTCCCTAGACCAGCTTGTTCAGAGCCCCATTCAACCTGGTCTTAAACACTTCCAGGGATAGTGCATCCACAGCTTTTCCAGGCAACTTGTTCCAGTGCCTCACCACTGTCACAGTAAAGATTTCTTCTTAATAGCTAATCTAAGCTTCCTCTTTTTCAGTTTGAAACCATTCCCCCTTGTCCTGTCTCTACATGCTGTTGTTAGAAGTCTCTCTCCATCTTTCTTGTAGGCACCCTTCAAATACTGGAAGGCTGCAATAAACACCCTGAAGTCTTCTTCTCTCCAGGCTGAACAACCCCAATTCTCTCAGTGTTTCCTCCTAGGAGAGTTTCCATCTCTTAATGACATTGCCAGGAAGAAGTTTACTGAGTTGCTAGAGGAATAGTTAAGAGGTCTTTTGAGGTACACGGCAATTACTGTATTTTTGCAGGTAAGGAACCAAACACGGAAGATTTTCTCATCTTCTGAGAGGAACGAAGAATAGGTAAGCCGCAGCAGGCCTTCTGCTTCTCTCTTTTCTGCGCATTGAGAAACTGAAGTGAGGAATGTGCAAACATACTCAATTAGAGCAACAAGAGAGCTTCTCCTTTTCTTCATGTCTTGTCAACCTGTCAGAACCTAACACCTACACTCCTTCCGGTCTTGACAGAAGACTAGATGCCAAGTTACATCTGCCTGTCATATCATGAATGTTTTTCAAAATTAAGGAGATGAAACCGAGGCTTGAGCCTGTAGCCAGATTAACATAGTCAAATACCTCTTCCATTATTCCTCCCACCCTGACATAAGAAGGGCATTCTGGTCCTCCTCATGCAACTGCCTCACTTAATAGAACATTTGCAGTGACCTTTCACCATAACTAACAATTATTACTTCTGCAGCCAGCAGATCAGAACTACAAGCTTGTAATATGTAGATAAGCATTGCTCTCTGCAGTACTTCGGAGAAGTAGGGAAACAGGCTCAGCCTCGTTACTGAATAAAGGCAGCACTCAGAAATTCCAGGGAAAAAGCAGAATCAGGTTACTTTAGTGGGTATTATGGGATGTAGTATTCAAAGCAACTTTTTCTTTTCCAAACTGAAAAAAAAAAAAATTCTGAAAAAGTATTTTACATGCTGTCATGTAAAATAGTTGATTATACCTTAGTCTTCACTGGCTGGCATTCATTGCTCTTCTTGCTTTTCCCCGATTGCCTTTTTTTTTCTAGTGAAAATGTTTTCACAGTTAATTTAAATATATTAATTTATTTTAAAAAACCCAACCAAAACCAACCCACATTTCATCTCCACAGACATAAATGCTCTTAAATTAAGCTCTGTGAATCTACTTGAAATGTGTAAATAGGAAGAAAAATCAGGTCTCAAGAGAACTCAGGAACTTAAATGGTGAAATTCAGATGTGGAGGTTTTCATATGACTGCCACATCCTTTAGCCCACTCTCTCTTGAGAAAACAAGCAAGGTTTTCAAAGTCAAAGCGAAGCCTATCTCTCAGTCACCTTCAGCTCTTTCCCTTATTTAATCCTGTGCTGGTTTAAAGGCAAACCAGCAGGAGAAATGAACCCAACTCAAAAGAGATTATAAGTCAGAATTACAATTTAATAAAAGTAATACAATAAATACAATTATGCAAACAAACAATTGGTTTTAACCCACAAAAACCCAGATGTATAACCTGGCACCCTGGGGCACGAACTGAATTGTGTTTGTAGGCCCCCCGCGCTGAGCCTCACATGGTCCCCCTGAGTTCAAAAGTGAAAGGAGAGAGAAAAACCTGTTGGTGTGAGTGATGGTCGCAGTCCGGCTACGAGTGGTGGTCGCAGTCCAGCTGGGAGCGGTGGCCGCAGTCCGGTCGAGGCTCTTCTTCTCCTCTGGATTCCACGAGTGGTACCAGCAGTCTGCAAGACCCCAAGGTTATACACACTCAGGTTCAGGCAGGAATGCCCAGCACCTCCCCCAGGGCGGGGAGTTCCACAGTGGGTGATTGTGAGTCGTGGGTGTGAGGACAGGAACAGGCCTCTTAACACCCAGCTTATAGCCTGAGGGGTCAGGTGTGCTCTGGACAGCTGCTGCAAATGGTCTATTGTTAACAGTTCCTGGGAAATGACATAGAAGGTGTAGAATACACAGTTTGGGTTACACCTGCACAGTGATGAACTGGTCCTGGCTGCTCTAACTAGGACAAATCCTTTCATTAAAAAGACGTTAAGTTTGTAATAGCTGCCAAAATATTTCAGGAAAATAGCTATTCTGACTGTGTTTTATTATGCCTGATGCATCCACACAGCCGAGCAAGAATGAGTACACTGGCAGGAAAAACAGTAACAAAGAATTATAATCTGTGTTTGGATGGCAATTACATAATTTCTAAACAGTTCAAGAAATTTCTTTTAATGTAATTTCTGCAGCACAAATCAGAAACAAACTTATAGAACTGGATGGCCATTGTGCATCTGGTTTCTGTTACTGAGAAGCCAACAGGCACCATTTGCTCAGACCATCTGCAGAGAAAATGTTGACGTTTTTTGATTTTGTTTTTCTTCTAAGACAAACCATTTTTGTGGTCCACATCTCAGGCTTGAAGTAACACAAAGCACATGTTTCTTCCAGATAAGGGGAATGGTACTATTAAAAATGTTCTGTGTAGAATTAAATCATATACTTGACATATGAGGGATACACTCTGGGGAAATGGAGTGTCTCATTTTAAATATTTGTTGTGTATTAAGGAGCTGATACAAAGTCTGCTGTAATTGGTGTGTGTCTCCCCAGTTTTACTAGCATGCATCAGATCCTCAGTCCTTTCCGAGATTTGCTAACAGATTCAGATTCTGTAAAAATATTAATAATTTGTCTGCCTTTTCGCTTGCAACATCCTGTGTTAAAATATTCCTTTAATGGATGCTCAGAGTTAAGGAAGGCTACAGAACTCTAAAACTATCCTAAATAAAAGAGAAATAAAGGGTAGCACCTTATATTACTTGTTGTCATGAAGATGTTGACCCACTGTTTTTTGTGTGAAGTCCAAATTATGTTGATGAAGGTACCTCAAGGCTTTATTTGACACACAGGACAAAGCTGTTGCTGCATGCCAGCTCTTGACAACAGAAGGAGACATCCAGACGTCAGTGTTGACTGCATCTCTCAAAATTGTGTGTGCAGTGGAGCTGATGTTTGGTGCTGAAGGTCACACAGAGAGTAAAGTAATTAGTTAATTAATTAATTAATTAATATGGTTTTTCCTGCATGGAAGGGATGGCCAAATAATCCAACAGCTTCTGAAGATGGAGAACAGAATTTCCATGCTAGTGAATAAACTCCATGAATGCATGAATTTTGTTTGATTTTAGGGCAAATTCAGAGAAAACCACATCCAGTCCAGGCTAGGGATAAGCTAAAAAAAATAATAATTATTCTACTAATATATTTGTGAAACAGAAGCTCCATCCCTCTTTCAAATAGTTTTTAGGCTCTGAAATAAAGTAAGTACTGGTTTTACTGGTTATTTAAAAGACTTTTTCCCTTTAATTAAGGAGTCTTTCAGGAATACCTAACTTCTTTTTAACAATCTAGTAATATCGTCTCTTACAGATGTAGTAAACATTAGGCAAAAGACATGAGCTATATGATATCCTTCCACACTTAGAGTCACACTACAATTACCAACAGCTTTGCCATTTGTACGACAGCATTTTTGGGGGGTTCCTGAAACTGTATGCCACTGACCATCTCACTCACTCACAGTGTGCTGTCACTTAGATGACAACACTTAAATCCTTTTTACAGCCTGCTCCTTGGTATTTAATTTAGTCCCTGTCATAGGAGACTGACATTTCTAGTTTTGGAGGCTGAAAGTCTGCTTCTCCCTAGAAATAATGAGAGGAGGCAACTAATATTTTTTCCTGCAGAACAGGTAATGGTAGAAGCAAACTGTCCCAGATATCTCAGTCTTAAAGTTTAACCTCCATCTAGGTGGACTAATTAATAAATGGCAAGTGCCTCAGCTTTATCCACACAGACAATCCACAGGATGTTTATTACTGTCAGGGATAATAAGTTTTGCTGCATTGTATTCCTAAAAGTGAGTAGTGATGTATTTTAGCCCTCCTTCAAAGTAGATTAGATGTTTACAGGTGAAGAAGAGCTAAGAACTAAAAAATATGAGGGCAGGCAGGAGGAATGCTATCCAGAGATGCAGAAACATTTTTGTGATTCTCAGTGTCAGTCCAGTAAAGTGGATGCAAGTACAACAGGTTTAAGATGCATGGGGAAAAGGTTAATTTCTGAACAGTTCAAGAAATTTCTTTTAATGTAATTTCTGCAGCACAAATCAGAAACAAACTTATAGAACTGGATGGCCATTGTGCATCTGGTTTCTGTTACTGAGAAGCCAACAGGCACCATTTGCTCAGACCATCTGCAGAGAAAATGTTGACGTTTTTTGATTTTGTTTTTCTTCTAAGACAAACCATTTTGTGGTCCGCATCTCAGGCTTGAAGTAACACAAAGCACATGTTTCTTCCAGATAAGGGGAATGGTACTATTAAAAAGGTTCCGTGTAGAATTAAATCATATACTTGACATATGAGGGATACACTCTGGGGAAATGGAGTGTCTCATTTTAAATATTTGTTGTGTATTAAGGAGCTGATACAAAGTCTGCTGTAATTGGTGTGTGTCTCCCCAGTTTTACTAGCATGCATCAGATCCTCAGTCCTTTCCGAGATTTGCTAACAGATTCAGATTCTGTAAAAATATTAATAATTTGTCTGCCTTTTACGCTTGCAACATCCTGTGTTAAAATATTCCTTTAATGGATGCTCAGAGTTAAGGAAGGCTACAGAACTCTAAAACTATCTAAATAAAAGAGAAATAAAGGGTAGCACCTTATATTACTTGTTGTCATGAAGATGTTGACCCACTGTTTTTGTGTGAAGTCCAAATTATGTTGATGAAGGTACCTCAAGGCTTTATTTGACACACAGGACAAAGCTGTTGCTGCATGCCAGCTCTTGACAACAGAAGGAGACATCCAGACGTCAGTGTTGACTGCATCTCTCAAAATTGTGTGTGCAGTGGAGCTGATGTTTGGTGCTGAAGGTCACACAGAGAGTAAAGTAATTAGTTAATTAATTAATTAATTAATATGGTTTTTCCTGCATGGAAGGGATGGCCAAATAATCCAACAGCTTCTGAAGATGGAGAACAGAATTTCCATGCTAGTGAATAAACTCCATGAATGCATGAATTTTGTTTGATTTTAGGGCAAATTCAGAGAAAACCACATCCAGTCCAGGCTAGGGATAAGCTAAAAAAATAATAATTATTCTACTAATATATTTGTGAAACAGAAGCTCCATCCCTCTTTCAAATAGTTTTTAGGCTCTGAAATAAAGTAAGTACTGGTTTTACTGGTTATTTAAAAGACTTTTTCCCTTTAATTAAGGAGTCTTTCAGGAATACCTAACTTCTTTTTAACAATCTAGTAATATCGTCTCTTACAGATGTAGTAAACATTAGGCAAAAGACATGAGCTATATGATATCCTTCCACACTTAGAGTCACACTACAATTACCAACAGCTTTGCCATTTGTACGACAGCATTTTTTGGGGGGGTTCCTGAAACTGTATGCCACTGACCATCTCACTCACTCACAGTGTGCTGTCACTTAGATGACAACACTTAAATCCTTTTTACAGCCTGCTCCTTGGTATTTAATTTAGTCCCTGTCATAGGAGACTGACATTTCTAGTTTTGGAGGCTGAAAGTCTGCTTCTCCCTAGAAATAATGAGAGGAGGCAACTAATATTTTTTCCTGCAGAACAGGTAATGGTAGAAGCAAACTGTCCCAGATATCTCAGTCTTAAAGTTTAACCTCCATCTAGGTGGACTAATTAATAAATGGCAAGTGCCTCAGCTTTATCCACACAGACAATCCACAGGATGTTTATTACTGTCAGGGATAATAAGTTTTGCTGCATTGTATTCCTAAAAGTGAGTAGTGATGTATTTTAGCCCTCCTTCAAAGTAGATTAGATGTTTACAGGTGAAGAAGAGCTAAGAACTAAAAAATATGATGGCAGGCAGGAGGAATGCTATCCAGAGATGCAGAAACATTTTTGTGATTCTCAGTGTCAGTCCAGTAAAGTGGATGCAAGTACAACAGGTTTAAGATGCATTAGAAAAAGGTATTTTAATTTTTGCAGCAACACCTGTTTCTATTCTGTTTCATAGGGAAAATAGCAAGAGTCTTACATGACAGTAGCTGAAATACTCAAAAAAGCAGTACTATTGCAACACACTATCCCCTGAAGAACAGTATGTTGTTGCAGACAGAAAGGTGGTTTTTTTTTTTTTTTGCAGATGGTTTTCAGACAAGTTTCTGACTTGAAATATTTGATCTGACTGTTGTTAGAATAATATGGGCAAAGAACAGCACAACTTCCCAGATGGACATCTCTTTAACTAATCTGGTTTAGTACAATAAATTCTGTACTTCTTATTATTAAGAACAAACTCCTTTATCAATGTCTTATTTGGATATTAAGTCTCCTCTGCCTTTTCAGAATCATATTATGGTCTGCTGTCACACCAGCTTGGGCTCTAATTATCTCATAGCTCAAGCAGTGTTAAACCTTCTCTGGGGCTGGTTGGGTGAATTCCAAGAAAAATTTAAGCTACCACAGGAGCTGATTCTGATGATTTCAATATGTGACCTTTAGCTGATCATGAATTGTACCAATAACCCAGTCTTGGTAGTGATTATATGCTCTTCTAAATCCAAAGTAAAATTTGGATTTTGATCTTAAGAGATAATGAGGGAGCTCATTACCTATACTGGGCTTGACTTTTTGGCCTCTGCGTTTTCTGACACCCTATCAGAGTCTTTGCACCCAACCTACAGCATTTTACCCTCAGTTACTAGAGGCCTTATATTTTAGCACATGTGCACAGAAATCAGTTTCATAAAACTTAGTCTTCATGCTGTAGAGCATCAGTCAGCAATGCACTACACCATTGTAACAAAATAGGACTGGATGATTATTTGTTTTACTAAACAGGCAAAGAAAAGCTAAATTTATGCATCATGTGTCATTTTGGTGTTACAGGAAAATACTTTCGTAGTGTTTCTAAAATAAATTCCTATAAAATATAGTGATGTTTAGGAAAAAATAGTACTAAATTTTTGGCTAATAGTGGCAGAGAAGTAATCTTTATCTTAAAACAAACCCATTTTCAGAAGTATAACTAATACAGTTATGACACCTGACCTTCCAAAATACTAATGGAATTCTGTGATGCTCTGAACATCTGTAATTACACATAAAAATTAATCTGCTTTTTTGGATCAGGAAGGTGCTCTGCCTTAGATTTTAAATTAATTTTGAAGACCTTTTCAAGATTTAAAAAAGCTGTAGTATCAGTTCTTGCATTGGTTGCATAGTCATCACAAGTGTTTCTGCAGGAACAAAATTAGCTCTGTGCAACAAACTTAGGAACAACACTTGAATTATGCTTATGGTCACCAGTAAAACTGTATTTTTTAACCATTTTCCACACTCAGTCCCCTTGTTTCCACAGCCTCACTTTCTGTCTTTCTGCTTTACTTGGAAAGTGTTTATCTTTCCAGCCTGTTTCTCACAGTGTTCTTAAAGTTTAACATCTTATTTCTGCCACTGTGGTTCCCTGAAGCTTCTGTGCATTTTTCATGAATATTTTATCATGACTTAATTATATAAAGATTTTTTTTCCTCTCTGCTATAATGATCTTATGGTCAGAATATGGATTTTTTTTTTTTTTGGTTGTTTCATTTTGGGCAGTGTCTCCCACTTGGGCACTGTCCTTTAGGACAATATAAAGACATCACAGTGGAGATGTTCAGTACATCTCATTTGAATGTACTTTGCATTTTCTTTAGAACATTTCTATTTAGTTTGTGTCTGAAGTGTGGCTTTGAAGCCTTACCATTTTGGTTTTGTGGGCTGAAGAGGGACTGACATTCATGCAGGCATCTCTCTAGTAAGTTGATGCCTGTGGGGCCAAATAGCAGAGCTCATATTATTAGCACAAGTGCTAGGGGACTGCATGCTCTCAAACCTCCAAGATCTATTAGCTGGCCTTCCCTGCCTGTTCTGGGTTACTCAAACCTCCTGCCAGTGCTGATGCTTACCAAGTTGTCTGCTTGCAAAATGCAAAAATTGAATAAATTAAATTGCTGGACTGTGCACAGCATTACTAAGATAAGGAGCTATCTCCTGCACCTCCTCAGCCACTCTGGCAGCCCAGTTCTATTCCCCTGGTCTTTCTTGTTATCCACAACTTTGTCTCTCTGTTTCTTTCCAAAATTACCCGCAGTGTCCTCTTTTTTATTTTTTCCTTTTTTTTTTTTTTTCCCCCCTCAGAAGATTTATACTATACTCCAGGTTTCTGTGTGTTATTGTAAATGAGAGGGATTAATGTCAGTCTGTAATCTTAGTTCTGTACTGTTAGGAACAATTCATACTCCTTAGTTATTGTTGATTTTAGTATTTTCCAATTTGTTTTATATTAATAAATTACAGTCGTGTGGCTGATGTCCGTTAAAATCTTCCATAAATTCTTGTCCAGTTGGTTAATACTTTCCAACCACAGTAC